TGCATGTGAATTTTTTACATGTTTTTATTGATTTTAGAGAGGGAGGGAGGGTAAGGAGACACATCCATTGGCTGCCTCCTGCATGCCCCCCGCCCGGAGATTGAGCCCACAACCTGAGCATGTGCCCTGACCAGGAATTGAACTGGCGACCTCTTGGTGCATGGGTCAACACTCAACCACTGAGCCACACTGGCCAGGCTATGTGAACTTTGAACTTCCTGGTAAATAGAACTTATTGATATGATTGCTGGTTTTTATTTCTAGTAATGCTTTCTGCCTTTAAGTCTACTGTAAAGCCCAGCAGTCTGTGGTTTAATAAACCTCCCACGTGGTTTTGATGAACATTCGTTTGAATACCATTGAACCAGCCTGGAACAGTGATTTAGGGCAGTGGTTCTCAAACTCCGCTGTACATTTGATCACTTAAGGAGCTTTTAAAAAAGGACTGATGCCTGGAACTTGCCTACAAATAATGATTTAATTGGTCTGGGGTGCAGCAAACTTTTATCTGGGATATCATGGATGCTGAGGCCGATGTAACCTGCCATCCATGTCATTTCCCAATTTTGTATTTATCCCGTCCTATTGATTGGATTAATAAGGTGATAAACCCGAATCATTGAAATAAATGTATGCCTTGAAAACATTGTTTATTGGGGTTCTTTGTAGGGTTTGAGTAAAGGATACACTACTAATAGTTTGAAAGCCTAAACACTCAAGTCTAAATTCGTTAGTCTTACCTTTAAGACACAAGTTTACTGCCTTGTACCAACACAAACCTTGTATGTGCTTCCTAGGACTTAGGAAGGGAAAAAAGCACCCTACTGAGGTTCCAGTTTATAGGGACCTTGCAAGTCAACCAATAATCTCTGAGGCTCCTTCTGACTTGGTATTTTAACATTTCAATACTCAGCTTAGTTTCCCAATTTAGACTGTACTGTCTCTTCCTCTCTGCTTCCCTAGGTTAAATCATCCTAAGGCAGTTCAGGTTCTAATTATCCTTAACATTTTTTTGGTACTCAATCTAAAATTCTTTGACTTCTTAGGCATCTATCAATCAATCAATTTATATCTAGTCTCCCACTGGGCAATAACAGGATCTCACATCTCTGTAGCCCTAAATGCCTAGTATGTATGCAGTGTTTGTTATTTTCCCCTCAGGACCATGAATTATTGCCTCTGCCACTTGTTTTATTCCAGTAGAGTTTTATTGAAAGCTTGCTTTTTGCCCAATATGCTTTCATTACTGTACCCAACTCATATCTATCTATCCTAGAAATTTTCTTTTGGTAGTCCCATTCAGCCCCTAATTTCCACTAATCTTCTCCAACAATAACTCTCTTCTGGCCTCTGCTGGCGATAGCACACAACTGCTTGCCTAAGTGTATATGCTACAGGACTCAAGTGGAAGGACACTTCAGTTTTCTAAGGAGCCATTCTAACAGCATCAGCTCAGCAAAGAAAGAGTTTGAGATGTCTCTTAAACTGCTAGAATTCTTGAACATAGCTGGATGCTGAAATTTGAGATATATTTGAAATGCTTATTTCCAAAGTGGCATTTTTCAATATAAAATTCATGTTTGTTATGCTAAAATGTCAGGGGTAACAGGATAAAATTCTTAGGTCTGTCTTCTTTAAAAGCTTGCTCCTTCAAAATAAAATTTGTCCAATTTTGCCTGATTCTGTCTTTAGTATTGTGCCTGGTAAAGTGCTTGATAAATGGTTTTTAAATAAATGTATTAGTATTTGGTTTATGTAACACTATTTCTTTTTTTTGTAACTGAATTACAAATAAACACTACCTGGGGAGGAATCTTTGCAGCCTTTCACTATTTCTTTTAGAATAGTGTCTTCTATGCATTTTTACATACATATGCTAGATGCAGTTTAAACTGAGTTACTAATACTTTAAGCCTACAACAGCAGCCTTTGCAGTTGGACTTTGGGAAAACTTTTCACATGACAGGTGTTAGGGAATATTCTGCTTTATTTTGCTCTCTCGATGTAGCCTATTATGTCTTCTACATACATCTGGGCACCCATGACTAATTCATTCAAACTGCTGCCTTGGCCAATCTTAGGTTTCAGGTAGTTTAAACCAGTGGTCGGCAAACTGCGGCTCGCGAGCCACATGTGGCTCTTTGGCCCCTTGAGTGTGGCTCTTCCACAAAATACCACGTGCGGGCGCGCACGTACAGTGCGATTGAAACTTCGTGGCCCATGCGCAGAAGTTGGTTTTCGGCCTGGGCGAGTCTATTTTGAAGAACTGGCGTTAGAAGAAGTGGGGGGTGTTGGTCGGTCAGGGCGACGGGAGATGCGGTGCAGGAGGGCCGTGGGATATGCAGCGCGGGGGAGGTACACTGTTTTGAGGTATGTTCGCTGAGGTCAACCCCTTCCAACTCTCCCATCCACACTCGTCTATCTGAAACAAGTATACAAGACGAGTGTGGATGGGAGAGTTGGAAGGGGTCGACCTCAGCGAACGTACCTCAATCAGATTGAGGACGTTTTTAGCAAAGGCCAGTTTAGGAGTACCCTAATTAAGTTAATAACAATGTACCTACCTATATAGTTTAAGTTGAAAAAATTTGGCTCTCAAAGAAATTTCAATCGTTGTACTGTTGATATTTGGCTCTGTTGACTAATGAGTTTGCCGACCACTGGTTTAAACAAAATACCTGCTTGTTTAAAGGCAGGAAGGTGTTACTCAAATGCTAAGTGCTGACACACAGGTTCTGCATGCTTTCAAAGTTTGAATCAGAGGTCTTCAACTTTAAAAAGCTCACAGGCAACCTGAAACTATACATATCTCTATATAAACAGTGATTGGCATGTATTTGTATGAAAGTATTGTCTAATATATAATGCTTTACAAATGAATAAAGCCCTTTCACATACATTATCTTTCTAAAGAAAAGTTTGAAGTGCACAATCTGTCATATATTGCAGTTTTGCATTTAAATGCATCCTTCTAACTTCAGTGTTTTTGAAAAGTATCTATTTCATGACTTCACTTAATGGTAGAGCTAGACCAGCCGTGGGCAAACTAATAAAACTAAAAAAAAAAAAAGACCGTACCCTTTTATGTAATGATGTTTACTTTGAATTTATATTAGTTCACACAAACACTCCATGCTTTTGTTCCGGCCCTCCGGTCCAGTTTAAGAACCCATTGTGGCCCTCGAGTCAAAAAGTTTGCCCACCCCTGAGCTAGACAGTAGCAGATAATAAGGGAGAGAGAACTTAGTTTACCCAACCTTCCACAAGGTGAGGATAAAATGACATGCTAGTTATAAAGGTTTAGGCTGCTGTTAAGCTACTATCAGATAGTCTCTTGCTGTGTCTGCGTAGGCTGCTTTTAAATAGCAAAGTCCATCAGAGCTCAAACTGTACATCCTGTGGTGCCCTATTCATCAAACCAGGTGACTGTCAGACTCCTGGTCTTTAGAGGTACAAGATCTGATTCTGGAATTAGGCAACCTCAGGCTCTACACTTCAGGGATGGGGAATGTCAGGCCCTAGGGCTGTAAAAGACCCGGGAAATCATTTGGTTTGGCCCTGCCAAGGCATTAGGGGTGAGTTAATTAAATGTTTGACTAAATATAGAAGGCTAATTTTTAAGTTGATAATTTTGTATGGCCCACAAATGATGTTACAAATATACAAATGGCCCTTGGCAGGAAAAAAGTTCCCCATCTCTGCTCTAATTTCATCCCTTAGTTATTACTAGTAGAGGTAGCCAAGTGACAATTCTGGCCATTGAGAAACAGAAAGCTATTGGGTGGAGGCTTAAGGAAAACTTTTTAAAGGGGAACCAAAACAAATGACACGTGCTTTTTCCCATTTCCTCTTTCTACTTAGAACATGGACATGATGCTAGAGGTAGCCTACTTTACAGTCACAAGGATGAAGGCCACATATAGAGCATGAAAGCAGAAAGCTAGAGTAAACCTGGGTCCACAGGGCATCCTGGAGCTGCACTGCCAGCCTTAGATGCGACCTCCAGACTTTATTGTGAGAAAAAGAAAACCAGTCATTCGTTTTTTAATCTGCTTCTTGGATCCATTTTTGGCAGCGTAATGTTAAGCTCATACATAAATTCGTAAGATTATTTGAGAATTAAAAGAAAAATCTATGGGAATAGCATAAACAGTTCTTGGCATAATTATGAATGGTTTCTATCATTTTGGGGGAGATTAGGTAACTGTCAGCAGAGAAAAAAAATCAAACAGGATAGAGAAACAATTTGGGGCAGGAAGAAAAGTGCTGAACAGAAGTTATGATAGGGTTGTAAAAAATTCAGAATCACATTTAGAGCCAAATAATGTACACAGAGTGAGACATTCTATTCAGTGTCTATGTAATCCTGCTTATATAATACTATCAAGATATGGACTAAAGGAACAAAAAGCCCCTGATAAACAAAATGCCACTAGAAAAGGTGACACAGATATGCTTAGTTATGGTAGGTCCAGGAGGAGTAGAAAGTTGCTAAATCGAGAAATCTACTTTGTTGCCAAATTGGGAGTTCATAACAGTTAATCTAGAGAAACAATACAACTAAACTTGAACACACGGGCAGAGACCTCAACAAATTCATCTTGAAAAATGCACCAGAAAAAAAAAGTATAATGGAAAAAAAACAAACACAAAATTACATGTGAGAAACTGGAATATTAGCATCAGATCAGAGGGTGATGTTAACTTACAGTTCATGCAAAAGGAAAAAAGTTGGTATTTGTGGATACCTCAAAAGGAATACACTCTACAGTAGCACCTCATTTCAATTCAACAAAAGAAAAAAGCTGGAAAGCTAAAAGGACTATTAAAATTTAGATGTTTAAACACTTAAATTTAGATATTGGAATGACCAACAGAAGAGCAATGATTAAGAGGATGAAAATTTGTAATGATAAACATGAAGTCACTGCTGAATGTAAATAACAAGGAAAGATGGCATAAAAAGAAAAGATCTGAAAAACAAATCACAGACAACTATCATATTTTCAAAACTGTAATTGGGTATGCCAAACAAAGTAAATAAACAATTCTTAACTTAGAGTGCAAAATTAAAGCACCTTATTGTTTAGAGGTGCAAAAGCAAGAAAACACAATATAAACTTACCCACATTTTTAGTAGTTGTGTGGTAGGTAAATGCCATTTTAAAAATATTTTTAATAGAAAATGATTTATAAATCAGCTTACAGAAGATTTAAAAAAATCAGTGTTTAATACCAACATTAGCTATAAATAACTAGAAAGAAAAAAATTGTTCTCTATCATGTTTTTGCTTCAACATCTATGTCTTCTGCTCTTTGCCTTTAGTAGAAAAGATTGCATTATAGGGCTGCCGTCTTTTTGGACGAGGACAAGGATCAAGATCTTCCTTAATATAACCTTAAAAACAAATTACAAATTTAGAAGACTATGTTAGCAACATGTTTCTTTCAGCACATATCCAGTAAACATTTGACTTATTTAATGCCTTGTAAGTTTACATGATTCTATTAGCTGAGTGATGCTGATGAAGGATTTCATTATTTAGCATCAGTTTCCTCATTTATACTAACCATCATAGTAGCAAACATTTATCAAATGTGTTATATCCAATACCTCAGATAACACTCACAGTCCTTTGAAGTAGCTTCCACTATACTATTATGATAAATTCCAGGTGCTTATCAAAAAGACTTTTTGTAGTAGCTATTTCATTAGAAGACAAGCCCCTATACTCTTCAGACAATTAGACTCTCCTAAGGTATTCAGGGGAGGACTGTTCTCCAACCAGACCCCTAGGCCAGTGGGCCACATGCAGCTCTTTGGCCCCTTGAGTGTGGCTCTTCCACAAAATACCGATTTCTGCGCATGGGCCACGAAGTTTCAATAGCACTGTACATGTGCGCCGCACATGGTATTTTGTGGAAGAGCCACACTCAAGGGGCCAAAGAGCCGCAGTTTGCCGACCACTGCCCTAGGCTATATTAGTACAAAGAGGCTCTCATCCAGACTAATTCTAAATGATGACCAGCAGAGAGATCATGTCACAGAGGACTTAACCTGGCTTGTTAAGGGGGAAAGCGGAAATATGGTAATGACTGTCAAAGACTGCATCTTTGGAAGAACTATCTTACCATTAAATGTCTGGAGCATTAAAGTTGCATACATGCTCAAATTGTATTAAATATAAGTGCCATTTTTGAATGAGCTAGTTGCATGTCAACAATTTCACAAGCAAACAAACAAAGGTCCTTTTTACTCATACATGGTTTAAACATAACCAGCATTCTGCATAAGTGAGGTTTTAAAATCTAAAATTCAGAGTAGTGGCTTTAAAATGATAAACCTTGCTGGCAACTTTTATAAAATTATTTATTTTAATAAAAGTTGTTTTGATGATAGCAGGAAGGAGCAAATTGCTTTCTGAAATTTGAATGATAGACCAGGATAATGCATGCACAATCACACTAAGCATGGTCGCCAACCTTTTGGACCTCACGGACCACCAGTGGTCTGTGGACCACTGGTTGGCGACTGCTGCACTAAAGTATTATAAACAATTTGATTCCAGTGAAATTACTTGAAGAGTTGAAGATAAGCCTTTTATCTTTAGGAATTTGTTTTTATGTCACAAAACTTTTACCGAAGGTAAAGAGAACCATTGAGAAAAGGTTATATTTGGGTATATATGTATTAAAAAATAAATTTGAAAATGTTATAATCTATACTCTCACCTCTTTCCATACAAGTCTGAGTGGAAGGAAAACCAACTTCCCAGAAATTCTCTGGTGTGTTGGGTGGAATGTAGCGAAATCGGTGTCTTGAACAGGAAGCCAACTTCTTTTCTCTTTCTTCTGCTGGAATGTCTGCATAATACTAGTAATAAAAACTGGTAAGTTTTCCCACTTAGGAACAATAAATGGGGTGATTTGATTACTGATTATAAACTTGAAGCTAAGAAAACTTTTTACTAAAGTATTAGGCATGCTAAGAAAACTATACTACTACCTGATGATTGTAGTATTAATTACTAACAGTAATTACTGCTGGTCTGTGAAATGTTTGCTTCACAAACGAGAAAAGAAGCTTGTATTACAATGTACATCAACATATTGCCGCCTCCATCAGTAAAGTCTACAATGGGAAGAAATGCCAGCTGAACTTTACAATGTGTTTAGTGACACAGATGACTTACTTATTGGTGCAAACTCTTCCCCTTTGCCAGACTGGTAACAGAAATGAGAGGCCTGCATTTTTGAACAGCACTTTCTCAATTGTTATTTGGATATAATGTATGTTTTGAAGTAATTTTCCTATCTCTACAGTTTTTTAAAAATAAAGGTTTAACTTTGAATGCTACAGGCTTCATGGCTCCTCCCTCAAACTGTACTTTTTAATTAGGATCAAAGGCATATCATTTTTTGCAATTGCAATTATAAAGAACCTGAATTTCACACAAACAAGGATAAAACTTATATGTACAAACTGTATAGGTCTTTAAGCTCTAGATCTAAAGAAAAAGGAGTAGTGTAAAGTTTAATAGAATAGAGGTATATGATCATATATAATCCAGCTAATTCCATTGTATAGTTGAGAAACTAAAAGTCAAAGTGATAATTTACCAAGATATCACTACTGAAAGTAGCAGATTTAGGACTAAAATTTAAGTTTAAAGTAAAGGTTTTTCATACATTTTTCTGTAGTTTAATTACATTTTTTTAGAGTATCTCTGAAACAACTTTTTTTGGGTATCTTTCTCATCATTTTCATTGCCATGAATTTAGCCTTTGTTACCTTAGCCTGGGAATGGGGATGGGAGGCCCTTAAAGAATCATAGTTATCAATCAATGTTAGAGAAACACTACCACCAAATTACAACATATTCACAAACAATACAGGCTAATGTGTCTGTAACACAGTAAGTGGGAGAGTAGTAGTAGATGAAGTCAGAGAAAAGTGGGGTGCTAAAGTGTGCTGTAGGGCTTTAGATTCTGTTTATTAGTGAGATAAGAAGACATTTAAGGGTTTTTGGTAGAGGAGTGACATGATTTAACTTTTATTCCAAAAACATCATTAGGAAAAAAAGTCCATTCATTGCTGTGTTGAAAGTACACCGTAAAGAGAAAAGAGAGAAAAAGATAATGGGGACAGGGGTATATGGGAACTCTCTATGTATTACTCAATTTTTCTGTGGACCTACAACTGTTCTAAAAAATAGTTTATTAATTAAAAATACCCAGCCTAGCTGGCATGGTTCAGTGGTTGAGCATCGACCTATGAACCAGGAGGTCATGGTTCAATTCCCCATCAGGGCACATGACCGGGTTGAGGGCTTGATCCCCAATGTGGGATGTGCAGGAGGCAGCTGATCTATGATTCTCTCTCATCACTGATGTTTTTCTCTCTTCCTAGAACAAATAAAAATATATTTTTAATCTATTATTTCTCTTAGGTCTCAGCCAATATTCTCTCTGTTTACTCTGTTATTCCTGGCTTAAACTAGGTTTCCAGATACAAATGTAATTTTTATCTATGATTTTAAAATCATGCATTCATGATCTATAAAGCCATATTGTTAAAAAACAACAATTGAACAGTATTTATAGTAGTACTTACAATTTCACATTCCTTACATGTGTGTCCATGCAATTTTCTTCTCTCTTCTTTTTTCCGAACCACTTCAATATGAGGAAAATTTTGTAAGCTAGTCTCTCTGGGGGGAAAAATAAATTAAGTTTAAAATTAATCCATTTGTTATTACAAAGATCTTTGGTTTAGGTTTTTTTTGTTTTTTTTTTAAAAATATATTTTATTGATTTTTTACAGAGAGGAAGGGAGAGAGATAGAGAGTTAGAAACATCGATGAGAGAGAAACATAGACCAGCTGCCTCCTGCACATCTCCTACTGGGGATGTGCCCGCAACCCAGGTACATGCCCTTGACCAGAATTGAACCTGGGACCTTTCAGTCCACAGGCCGACGCTCTATCCACTGAGCCAAACCGGTTTCGGCTGGTTTAGGTTTTAAATTAACAAAGGTGAGAGCCCAGGGAAGAAATAATCCCAAAACATCCATTCATTTTATTTGAAATGTTTATTCAGTATGTCAAAAACCCAAATACTTCTTCATTCATTCTTCAGTAAATATTAACTGCCTACTATATGTGAGGTATTTTTATGGATATTTTTCTCTGAAAAAGTTAACTATTCCTATTTTTGCCCCCGAATGGCTGAAAATAATGGATTAGGAGATGAAATATAAAATAGCCTAAATAAAAAGGAATACTTCCCTGGTTGGGTGGGTCAGGTGGTTGGAGTGTCGTCCCATACAGCAAAAGGTGATGGGTTCAATTCCTGGTCAGGATACTTACCTAAGTTTTGGGTTCCCATTCCTGGTTGTGGTGCATATGGGAGGCAACCAATCAATGCTTCTCTCTCTCTTTCTCTCTCTCTCTCTTTCTCATCAATAAAAAACATCCTCAGGTGAGGGTTAAACAAACAAACAAAAAAGAATACTGTATTATTAAACTAAGGAATACCATAACCAAGAAAGAGAATACTGCCTCTGTTAACTTGGTTTTCTAGTACTAAGAACCCATATTTCAGGGCTAACCTACTCCCTGCTAAAGAACAGATTTATCTACAGACAGTCCTCGGGTTACGTCGGACTCGACTTACATCATTTTGTGGTTACATCGCCATCTCCCATTTATTTATATTAAAAAAAAAGTCCCGTCATTTTGACGTATGTACATATGTGCTTTATGTTTTTTATTATTTATTTACCACAAGTAAAGGTCAGGAATTGTTATCTTTCTTTTAAATTTTTTTACTGTTTCACTTCATTACTGCTGTGTAGGTGCTTATGTAGGTGGGTTCCGACTTATGGCGAAAATCGAGTTATGTCTCACCCTAGGAATGGATCTCCGACGTAACCCAAGGACCTATTGTATTTGTATGTATTTGCTGTTTTGCTCCAAAAGTTTGTTGCTTCCATCTACCCTAAATTCTTCAAAATATTAGGCAAAATTATCATTTATATTTGTTATTAAATGGATCAAATCCTATTGTTAACACTGGAAACCTAGGAAGTTAGGTCAAAGCCACTGAGGTATGGATTAAAGTAGTTGGGAAGAAAAACTCAAAGGTTAGAGCAGCGGTTCTCAACCTGTGGGTCGTGACCCCTTTCACAGGGGTTGCCTAAGACCATCCTGTATATCAGATATTTACATTACGATTCATAACAGTAGCAACATTACAGTTATGAAATAGCAACGAAAATAATTTTATGGTTGGGTCACAACATGAGGAACTGTATTTAAAGGGCCAGAAGGTTGAGAACCACTGGGTTAGAGCATCAGCCCAAGGACTGAAGGGTTTGATTCCCAGTCAAGGGCAGGTACCTTGGTTGCAGGTTTGATCCTGGCCCCAATGGTGTTCTCTCGTTTCTTTCTCTTTCTGTCTGTCTGTCTTTCTCTCTCTCTCCCCCCTCCCTCTTTCCCTCCCCCTTTCCCTCCCCATACCTCTCTCCCTTCCACTCTCTCTAAAAAAATCAATGGGAAAAATATCCTTAGGTGAGGACTTAAGAAAAAGACCCAATATAGAAAAATCAAAAATTAACAAGGTAGGTAAATAAAAAAATCATGTGATGGCATATATATAACAGAAACATCCCAGTGAATTTAAACAGTCTGATTCACAAAAACTGACTTTCTAAAAATGACTTGCTGGTAACACATATACCATGTTGAGGTATTTTGGTCACAGGCCCCTCTAGTTGGCAAGCACTTTCCTTCAAAATAAGCTTTAGTTATTCTATTCCAAAGTATATGAAATTATAGGCCCTTCTGTGCCTAAACCCAAGAATTCTCAAGCCTGGAGTAACCGGTGAATTTAAAAAGGGAGACCAAGAAAGGCCGGATAAAAAATATTGCCATAAATATATTTTCTTTCAAATAATTATGAAATCTTAAGCTTATATTTCTTTCTTCTGCATACTATCTATTCTGTTTCTAGGTGTACTATAATGCAGCAGTGAGTCAACTAGTAAACTGGCACCTGTAGTAGACATCAAAGCATCACCTAAAAGGTTACTGAGCTGCTTGTCCCTGACACAACACAACCCATCTTTTCCCAGGGTTTGCTAGTATTTTCAGTGGGGAAAGGAACCACATTAACTCTGAGACTGTTACACCACTCCTATCCTATACCTTTATCCACCACCTGTATCTCCAGATACCTAATGGTTTCAGAATAAATAAAACTACTCACGTATTTTTTAAAAAGTGGTGAACCTCTAACATGAAACATCTGAAATGCCAGTCTCTGCAAGCTTACCTCTAGGAATTATCCCAAAGATACACAGGCAAAAATTTGGAAAGAGAATGTATAAGGCTATTCATTGCAGCACTATGCATGCCAGCATAATTATGAGCAATCCAAGCAACCATGCTATGGAATAAACTATGGTACAGTCAATGAGGTACTAGGAAACTAAAAAAGAAATGAGGAAAGCACTATTTACTAAGACGAGTGATTTAAATGAAATAAAGTAGAGAAAAGCATATATAGTATTCTACCATTTGTTTAAGGGGAGAGAGAGTGCAGCTACCAATATCCTGATATGTATGTAGATAAAACTTGATTTTATTTTGTAAAATGGATGAAAAACCATACATTTTAAACAAATGGTTACCTTTTTTTATTTTTTACGATGATTACCTTTAGAGATAGAGAGCTAAATGGGTGAAGCTAACAGATAAGAAGTTGGACTTATTTGAATATACCTTGTTTTATAGCATCTGGCACCATGTACATAATTTGCCTTATTTTAAAAATAAAGATAAAAAATTCCTACAAATAAAAAAGTAAAACAAACCTAGGTACTGAGTTGGTGGCATAATTACACAGAAAATAATGATCTGAAGTGACTTTAAAACACAGTGATTTGACTGTATATTTCTAATAGGACATAACTTAAAAAGAGACTAATAAGTCTTAAACCGTTTTCCTAAATCATATTATTGGTGATAGTCAGTATTACTCTGAGATTGCTTTGTGCATGCATTGTGGAATAAAGTTAAATGAGGAATGTTGTTCCAAGAAGTGGAATTTTCAGGTGGGAAAGTAGGTACAGATGAGACACAGGAGGTTATGTAAAAATCCTGTAGTCCTGAACTTGAATTGGAGCTATCAGTATAAACAAGTAGTTCCTTTTAAAAAACAAAATGAAACAAAAACTTTATTTTTAACTTTGTTCACCTAAAAGGTCTAGAAACAATGACTAGCAGCTGCAACAAGCAACCCTAGTGGCTAGACTATGGCCTAAGTCTCATTTCTCACTAAAACAAAACAAAACAACAACCTAGGGCTCTGGGAGTCATGATAGATGCTAGGCCTATGACAGGAAGTACACAGGGACATCTATCACACCAGAAGCAAGGAAGCTGAAAGATGACTAGGGTAGTATCCAAAGAGGCTTCCACGGGGCAAAGATGGAACAGTTTCAATACCAAGAAGGATAATAAACTGCAATGGACTCAAGCATCAAATATATCTAAATCCATGAATTCGTAATGATAAATTTAAAACAAAAAACTCCCTAGTTATATTTGAGATGCTAGGAAACTATTTATTTGAAAAACTGGTAAATAAAAAGAATAATTTAGCCACAAAATGACAGCATTTATCTATTAGAGTCTTACAGGTATCAATCAAAATTTATCTTGGTCTGTCTGATTTCTAAAATTCTTGACAAAAATAAAAGTGTAAGGAATTAACTTTGCTTACTAAGTGACTCAATTTTCCAAATTCATAACTTTAAGGGAAAAAAACCACAAAATAATTTGGGATAAATTACTATGCCTTAATTTACTTCTAAAAAGAATAGTACATGACTGAAAGTTTCAGAATTTAGCAGAATGTAGCATTATGGTTCAAAATTAACTTGCTTTGAAGGTTTAAAACTCCTTATAAAATAATTCTGAAGCACAATCTAAGGTTTCCCACCTAAAGTCTTATACTATGTAAAAGTTACAGTATACAATTAAAAAAATTCCCAAAGTTCAAATAAACTTCATAATAAAATAAAATATGAATATTTGTTATAATAAAATAAAGAAAATAACTATCACCATTGTAAAAAAGAAAGGGTAGTGGTGGTAAATTTTCCTTATTTGTAAAATTTGTCATTTTTGTAAAGCTTGAGTTCCAGTTTCGTTAGGGCCATAAATTAAATGAACACATTGTTTTTTAACCAAAGTAGCAATTTTACAGTTCAGAGAGGTTCTGACAAAGAACGCCGTTAACACTTTCAATCACATTGGTGGCATTTATTAAGATCAACTTACCTTTCATCATCTTTAAAATATGGCTCCACAAATGCTTTCTGTGTGACTTTATTTTGTTTGTCACCACGAGCTATAAACAAAAGAAGCATATCACAAACTGAATACAAAATTACTAAAATAGTTTGCTTTTTTGGGGGGAGGAAAAAAGACATATTAAGACCTCCATTTTCATTGGGTTTCATATTCTAGACCCCTGGTCAAAATTTTTTATAACGAATTTCTCCCTTTTTCATCTGCATGATAAGCAGAGTGCAAATTATGTCACCTCAAAATTACTACTAGCCCAGTTGCAGTGGCTCAGTGGTTGAGCATAGACCTATGAATCAGGAGGTCATGATTCGATTCCCTGTCAGGGCACATGCCCGAGTTGTGGGATCAGTCGACTGAAGATTCTCTATTATCAGTGATGTTTCCTCTCCCTTAGGGGGTAGGGGGTATGCAGGAGGCAGCCATTCGAAGATTCTCTATCATTGATGTTTCTCTCATCTCCCTTCTCAAAAATCAATAAAAAAATATTTAAAAATTTACTACTAAAGAGATAAAATCATATATATGAAAGTATCTTAGATTTAAAAACTATGTATAAAAGTCTCTACAAACAAACAAGACAAACTAAAAGAAAAAAAGAAAAAAGTCTCTATAGATAGTCTTTTATAAAAGGACTAGAGGCCAAGTGCATGAAATTCATGCATGGGGTAGGGTTCCTCAGCCTGGCCTGCACCCTCTCCAATCTGGGACATCCCTCTCGCAATCCAGGACCACTGGCTCCTAACTGCCCTCCCCTGCTGGCCTGATCACCCCCTAACTGCCTTCCCCTGCCATCCTGATCGCCCCTTAACTGTTCTCCCCTGCTGGCCTGATTGCCCCTAACCGTCTCTGCCTGCCGTCCTGATTGCCCCCTAACTGCTCTCCCCTGCTGGCATGATTGCCCCCTAATTGCTCTCCCCTGCCGTCCTGATCGCCTCCTAACTGCTCTCCCCTGCCATCCTGATCGCCCCTTAACTGCTCTCCCCTGCCGGCTTGATCACCTCTAACCACCTCTGCCTCAGCCCCTGCCACTGTGGCTTTGTCCAGAAGGATGTCTGGTGTAATTAGCATACTACCCTTTTATTAGTATAGATTTTAGACTTTAAAAGAACTACTTTGATTATCACTGGACACCAAACAACAAGACATCTTTGAATATGTTTCACTTATTTGTCCTATTGATTGTTATAATGTGTCTTTAAGGTAGATTATAACTAAGAAATAAAAAGATTAAAAATTTTTATCAGAAAATTGAATAAAAACTAGAATTATAGTTCATGGACCTGAATCCCAAGTTATCTAGACTCAAACAGCCAACTGCTATCATCTACTCAAATAATCAAAATTTACTAAGCAGCCTGGCCGGCATAGCTCAGTGGTTGAGCGTTGACCTATGAACCAGGAGGTCATGGTTCGATTCCTGGTCAAGGGCACATGCCTGGGTTACAGGCTCGATCCCCAGTGTGGGGCGTGCAGGAGGCAGCCAATCAAGGATTCTCTCTCATCACTGATATTTCTATCTCCTCCTCCCTCTCCCTTCCTCTCTGAAATCAATAAATTTATATCTAAAAAATTTACTAAGCATTGTGTAAGTTCTGGGCATGAAGTGCAGCACAAGAAAGACCAGGTCTCCTGTACTCATGGAGTTTACATGCATGAGGGAAACGGTAAGGGAGCAGGCAGCTAAGGCGTATCTGAGGAAGATGGAAGGTGGTGGTAACTGATGAATAACAAGAAAATAGCCATGAGAAGAGAGAGGAGTGGGGAATGTTCTAGATAAAGGTCATGAGATAGGAAAATGTTTCTAAGTTATAAAAACTAAGAGAAAGCCAGTATGGTTGAGATTTAGTGAAGACAGGGAGCTGTTGGAGGAGATGAGGTTGGAGAAGTGGGTAGGTACAAGATCACAATGGGCCTTGGAGGCGAAAAGGAGTTTGAATTTTCTTGTTAAGTGCAATAGGAAACCACTGAAGACTAAGAATTACTTTATTGAAGTATAATTTACATGTAAAAACACTGATTTTAAGTGTACTATAAATTTTGACAAAGGTATATTCCAGTGTAAATGCTATCCAAATCAAGATGAGTACATTTCCATCATCCTGAAAGTTTCCTCCTATTCTGTTGTTTCACACAAGAATGTTCTCTCATGTCTCCTTGTCTCTCACAATCACTGATCTGATTTTCATCATCATAGCTTAGCCACGCCTGTTTTAGAACTTCATATTAATGTGATTATATATTTATATTCTTTTTGTTCTTTTGCATTTTTCTAATTTTACAAGTTTTAGTGATTCATCCATGTTGTTGAGTCTAATAGGTCCCTCCATTTTTGCTGAGTAGTATTTCTTATGAATATACCACAATTTCTATTTATTTGCCTGTTTCTAGTTTTAAAAAAATACATATTTTTATTGATTTCAGAGAGGAAGGGAGAGAGAGAATCATTGATTGGCTACCTCCTGCATGCCCTCTACTGGGGATCGAGCCTGCAACCCGAGCATGTGCTCTTGATTGGAATCGAACCTGGGACCCTACAGTCCTCAGGCCAACGCTCTACCCACTGAGCCAAACCAGCTAGGGCTTGTTTGCAGTTTTGAGCTATTATAAACAGCACTGCTATGAACATTTAAAAAAAAATATTGATCTTTTACAGAGAGGAAGGGAGAGGGATAGAAAGTTAGAAACATCAATGAGAGAGAAACATCCATCAGCTGCCTCCTGCAACACCCACTACTGGGGATGTGCCTGTAACCAAGGTACATGCCCTTGACCGGAATCGAACCTGGGACCCTTCAGTTCACAGGCTGACGCTCTATCCACTGAGCCAAACCGGTTAGGGCTGAACATTCTTGAATACATCTTTGTGTGAGCATGTTTTTTATTTTCCTTGGATGTAAACAGGAGAGGAATTGCTGGGTCACAAGTAAGGTGTATGCTTAAATTACAAACAAACCCCAATAAAGCTGTTAAAGAACCATGCTGAACTGTTTTCCAAAGCAAAATGTTATACTCCCACCAGCAATGTATGGGAGCTCCAGGTGCTCTTCATCCTCACTGATGCTAGATATTGCCAATATTTTTAACCATTTCAGCAGGTATGAAGTGGTATCTTTGTCCCTGATGTCCAATAATGTTGAGCATCTTTTCATGTGCTTATTGGCCATTCAATTATCTTCTTTTAAACAAGAAGATAATACAAGCCCTTTTACATTTAAAATAAATCACTTTTGGCCCTGGCTGGGTGGCTCAGTGAGTTGGAGCATCAGCCTGTACAGACAGTCCTCGGGTTACGTCGGACTCGACATACGTTGTTTCGTGGTTACATTGCCATCTTCCATTTATTTATATATAAAAAAAAGTTCCATCATTTTGACATATGTACATATGTGCTTTATGTTTTTTTATTATTTACTTACCACAAGTAAAGGTCAGGAATTGTTATCTTTCTTTTAAATTTTGTTTACTGTTTCACTTCATTACTGCTGTGTATGTGCTACATGTGAGTGACGTAGGTGCTTATGTAGGTGGGTTCTGACTTATGGCGAAAATTGCGTTACGTCGCGCAGTAGGAATGAATCTCTGACGTAACCTAAGAACCTACTGTACACCAAAAAGGTTGTGGGTTTGATTCTCAATCAGGTACATACCTCGGTTTCAGGTTCAAAACCCTGGTTGGAGTGTACTGGGGAGGCAACAGATTGATGTTTCTCTCTTATTGATGTTTCTGTCTCTCTCCCCCTATTTCCTCTCTCTCTCAAATCAATAAATATATCCTTAGGTGAGGATTAAAAAAAATCACTTCTGAATCTCTGTAGAGACTGAACAAGAGAGGAAAAATAACTTATACAAAAAGACCAGTTAGGAGGCCTGTGATAGAAGAGGTAGAAATAGGAGTGGTTTAGGCTAGGATGGTGGCTACAGATATGAAGGGAAGTGTTATGAAATGTATTTTGGAGATAGGACGGCCAGGGTATCAGGCTGGGCTTGAGGGTGAGGTGAAAGAAAAAATCAAATATGACTCTAACATCTATCTTTGGTCACTGTGAGGCTAGGTAATAGGGTTTTAATGAGATGCAGAAAGGCAGGGGAAGATCAAAATTGGGTAAAAAAAAATAAAGATTTCTAATTTAAGTATGTTCAGTTCAAGGTGCTTATGTCAAACTAGAGGCCCAGTGCATGAAATTCATGCATGGTGGGGGGAGTGTGTGTCCCTCAGCCGGGCCTGCACCCTCTCCAACCGGGACCCCTCAGGGGACATCCCTCTCACAATCTGGGACCGCTGTCTCCTAACCGCTCACCTGCCTGCCTGCCTGATTGCCCCTAACCACTCTGCCTACCTGCCTGATGCCCCTAACTGCTCCCCTGCCTGCCTGATCACCCCTAACTGCTCTCCCCTGCTGGCCTGAAGCCCCTAACTGCCTCTGCCCCACCACTGTGGCTTTGTCTGGAAGGTATCTTTGTCCTAATATGCTAAGTAGACCGGAAGATGTCCGGTTTAATTAGCATATTACCCTTTTATTAGTATTTGGATTCAAATCTGGGGCTCAGCAGAGAGGGGATGAGGCTGGATGTAATGAGTATACAGAGCGTCTTTTTTAGTTGGCCCCAAAATAGCATCCACTCTCCTTCCCCTCACAATTCACAGGATGCAGCTCCTTCTCAGTGTTGTTTGCTGGTTCTTTGTTTCTCTGACTTTTTTTAAAGTCGTCATATCTCAGAGTTTAGAACTTGAAATGCTTTTCTTTTTTTAAGAAAATATGTTTTTATTGATTTTTTGAGAGAAAGGGAGAAGTGATAGAAACATCAATGATGAGAGAGAATCATTGATTGGCTGCCTTCTGCATGCCCCCTACTGGGAATCAAGCCTGCAACCCGGGCTTGTGTCTTGACTGGGAATCGAACTGGTGATGTACGAAATGCTTCTCTTTTCTAATTATATTCAACACTCTGATGATCTCATTCAGTGTCACAGCTTTAGGCACCATCTATTTGCTGTTGACCTCCTGCCCGCCTCCCCCCGCCACAATAATTTCTTTATTCTGGATTTTTTTGTCTAAATTCAATAATCATCAACTGCCTACTAAACACCTCTATTTGAATGTCTAGTTTAACATGCCCAGAACTGAGCTTTGGTACCCTCCCCCAAACTTGCTCTTTCTTATGACGGAAGACTTAGAACTTTTTGATATGAGAGTCAAAAAAATAAAATAAATGAACAAGTCCTAAATTATATGCCTGGATGGCTGGGAAAAATAAAAACGTCTGAAAGGTCACTTGGTAGGAAATAAATGGAACTTGGCTTAGATATGTTAAATTTAAACTGTTGAGGAGACACAAAAGTAGCAGTAAAAATGCAGGATGGGATTCATCAGAGAAGTCAGACTAGAGATGCAGATTTGGGATAATTTCAGAGGTGGTTAATAAAAGCATGAGAGAAAACGAGTGTGAGAAAAAAAACAGTGTATTGCGGATAATCTAGAAAAAAAAAGGTTGTCAGAGTTCAAAAGAATGTTGTATCACTGTCACAAAAGCTAAATGAGAAGAAATTTTGGGATGGTTAAGGTGAAATGTAACTTAAAAAAGAGACAGAAATCAATTATATCTTGTAAAAAAGAATATCCTTTTTTTAAAAAGTGGAACCAATTTGCAAAAGGCTCTTGAGGGAAAAAATGTAAATTTAACAGTTGTAGATTTTTATCACAAAATTTGCTTGACCAAGATTTTGCCACAGACCGAGCAAGCAAAGCATGCTGTTCTATATCTTCACTCAAGGTCTCATTCACTCTGAGCTCAGGCTTGTCGTTTTAAAAACCTGATGGAAGCACTCAGGAAAAAATAACCAAGATAGACTGTATCATAGCAGAAGGTGCGCTCATTTAAACCAGCATAAAAAAAAGACTTTGCCCAAGATTAAAAATTCTGACTGTTTTGCTCACAGTAAGAAAATGAGATATTTAGCTAGAATTTTAACTAATTTTCAATTAGACCAACTACTTAAGAGCTTCACTTTCAGTATTTTTTTTGGTTGCTAACCTACATTATAAACTACTGCTTCTAATAAAATGTAGTTTAAGAAGATATATATATATATATATATATATATATATATATATATTTTTTTTTTACATTAAGTATTTTGTCTGGAAAGGTAAAGCATTCATGCATGATATACGCCTGAATTTTCTAGAAAACTTTCTCATTTCACTCTATTACAATCATTAATTTATTACTTAAAAAAGAATTTTCTCAAAACTTTTATAAACTTTATGCACATGTTATAGAGTGTGTAGTATTGAATCAAGATTAATTTCTAAATCCTGATGAGTATTTTATGGTTACATAAGATGGTAACAAGGAGAAGCTGAGTGAAAGGTACAGGGGAACCCTCTGAACTACTTTTGTAACTCTTCTATTAGTCTGGAAAGAAAACACAAAACCTATGAAAAAGAAATTTATATAAGCAACATGAAACATTAATTAATATACCGTATCCATACTCTATTAATTAGCCTGAACCCCGTGTAACTGAGAAGCCATAAGTAGAAAGAAAACAGCCTTACTGTTTGGTTTCTTTGTTGTAGCTGACAATTCCTCCTCTTCTGCTACTTGGGGGTAGCTATCTGCCAAACAGGACTCATATTCTTCATGTGTTGTCCGATCAAACATATCTTCCAAACTATCATTCATTTTTCTTTCTCCACCTATGTAAAAGAGCACTGACTCAGGGCAACAAGCAAGCTTTTTGCTTTCTATATAGACCACTTGCTTTCTATATAGACTAATTGCTACAAAATAATTTTAATGTGCATGAGGCAAGAATAAACTCCCAAGTCTAGGTAATTACTGTACATTTATAAAACCTCTATGTTATGGCTCCAAATATCCTTTACTCATGTAAAGAGAATGCTAGTTTTTGTTATTTTCATTATAAACATTAAAAATCATTTTCTTCCTATCAGGTCATGTGTAATTTATGCTAAACCAAAAGGAGATCTGCCAAAGTAACTGAGGAATAGAAAATATATCATAATGAAAAATAAAAAAATACTGAAATAAATTGTGTATAAGTAGCTGACATTAAAATCTCTATAGAGCCCAGCGTGGCTCAGTGGTTGAGCATCCACCTATGAGCCAGGAGGTCATAGTTCAATTCCTGGTCAGGGCACATGCCTGGGTTGTTGGCTCAATCCCCAGTAGGGGGTGCGTAGGAGGCAGCCAATTGATGATTCTCTCTCATGATTGATGTTTCTTTCTCTCTCTCCCTCTCCCTTCCTCTCTGAAATAAATAAAAATATATTTAAAAAAAAATCTCTATAGAATTTTGTTTACCTGCTTGTTTTTCTAATGTGGCAGCAAAAAAATGTATTTTCTTGCATTACCATTAACACTTGGTAGTGTTGATATAATGAATTCAATTCCATATTTGACATGCAAAATGCTAAATTTATCTTCAGAGTAGTAACTACATTTCCTACCATACAATCACATTTTTAAATTCACCAGAATTTACTAAAAAACAGAAATAGATCCAGTTAGCTAACAAATATGACAGAACAGAAGCCTACTGAGATTACTCTATAAAATAACTACCATCTTCCCCAATCCATGGTGCTCTAGCTAACACCCATACCATATTTTATCTTTCTCCAGCACTAACCATCATCTATCATACCATATATTTGCTTGTTTGTTCCCTATTAGTACTTTTGTTCTGTTTTGTTTACTCATTGTCTCCAGTTCTTGGAACACTTCCTGGTATAAAATTGTAGCTCATTATATACTAAATGATTAGACATTTGTTTATTTTTCATTTTGAGAGTCAAATTTCTGGGTAAAATAGACTTCTATGTGTAGGCAGTGTGCTAGGCATTCCCAAAGCATTCTGTATATGCAGTTAGTAAATCACAGTAAGTTGCTGACTTCTGCTATGAAATACTTGAATACAGAGATTATATCCTATTGATCTTTCTATCATAGTATCTATAAGTCCTAACACAGAGTAGGGATACAAAAAACATTCTGTGAATTGAAACATTAGCAGCAATTTGGAGTTTTTATTGGAGTGTTAAATTTTAACCATTTCTAAGTATTAAAAGGTTTACCTTATGGTAAAATGGGCAGATTGTTTTTTTTTCCAAATAGGCCTTAGCAATATCTCCTATCCCATGTGCTGTTCTTACAAAGTGATCTTGACACTCCTTCCACTGAGTAGTGAGGGCCATGTTTCTCTTGCTTTGAACCTAGGCAGGTCTTTGTGACATTATGCAATTTCTGAAGCCAGATCATAAAAATTACATTTTATTTCTATCTTGCCCTTATGGGATTCTCACTCTGGGAACCTAATCTCCATGTGATGAGAAAGCTCAAACTAGCCCTCGTGGAAAGATCATATGGAGAAGCTCTGAGACTGAATGAGGAGAGATGCCAAATCACCCCCATCTGTCTAGTATTTTGCTCTTCTAGCTCCAGCCACCATCTGCCTACAACTGCATGAGAGACTGTGAGATAGAACCATACAGCTAAGCCCTTCCTGAATTTCTGAGCCATAGAAACTATGAAAGATAAGAAAATGTTATTTTAATCTTTTAAGTTATTGGATTAATTTATTATGCATCATTAGTACACGCAAGATCTACTTAGCCAAAATTAATAAATCATTAGCTGAAGTTCTAATCTCACTTCTACACAATATTTGCTTCAACTATATTGGGGAACCATTACATTCTTTGAATCAACTAGATAAATTTAAAGCCTAAGTAGTCATACTTTATTTATTTATTCCCCCCCCCCTACAAAAATAAGAAAACATTATCAGGGCTGGTATTGTGAACAAAATAATCATCTATCATACCATATATTTATTTGCTTGTTTGTTCACTATTAGTTCTGTTTTGTTTATGCATTGTCTCCAGTTCCTGGAACACTTCCTGGTATAAAATTGCAGCTCATTATATACTAAATGATTAGACATTTGTTTATTTTTCATTTTGAGAGTCAAATTTCTGGATAAAATAGAGTTTGTGTACAAAATAATCTTAAAAATAAAGTACCTTTAAAGAAGAAAATTATTTGTGTCATTCACTATAAAAAAAACAGTAAACACTGCTAAGGTTTTTCTTTAAATAGGTACCATCCTCTCACAACTTAGGCAGCCAGCTACTTGATCAATATAAATCATTATTCATTTCTAAGGGACAAAGATTTAAGGCAAAGTATTAAAATTTTTTCTCATTTACTGCATGTAGGACAGCAAGAAAAAAGGTGTGTCTAAAGAAGTGAGAACAAGAATAGCTGTTTTATTATTTGGCCGAGCAGGTAGACTACAGAATATTCAGCAGATTGAGAATGCTAATACAGTCTGAATATCCTCAGTTTCCAACAGATGAGGGCTGGTAAATGCCTCTTCTGGCACCGAATCCCCAAGTAGCAGGTCTTACACCTCCCATTCAAAGGGTGACAAATGAAACTAGTCCCAGTCTAGCTGATCTCATGTCATATGCTGCTTTCGTTAGGAATGTTGCTAAAGTGGTGCCAAGCAAAATCCTTCTGTTCCACCTCTTTTCGATGAAGATTTACTGCTAATTTGCAAATCTATACTAATATTTCTCAGTAGGATCTCCTGTTTTTGCCTTATGACATTGCTTTGGAAAATTGTATTTCTAAAACAGGACTTTCAAGATTCCCTTTTATACCTTCTACTTATTATTTATTTATTTTTAAATTTATTTTATTGTTAAGAGTATTACTGATGTTCCCCATTTATTTCCCTCCACTCATCTCCCACCCCAAGCCTTTACCTGTTTATTTTCTGTATCCATGGGCTATAACTAATTTGTACTTCTAAATCCCTTCACCTTTTTCATCCATCTCCCAACACCCCTTCCCATCTGGCAACCATCAAAATGTTCTCTGTATCTATGAATGTTTCTATTCTGCTTGTTCATTTATTTTGATTTTTAGAGTCAATTGTTGATATGTATTTATTGCTATTTTATTGTTCCTATTCTTGATTTTTTTTTTCTTCTTAAAGAAGACCCTTTAACTTTTCATAGAATTCTGGTTTGGTGGTGATAAGCGAACTGCTTTAGCTTTTTCTTGTCTGGGAAGCTCTTTATCTGACCTTCAATTCTAAATGATAGTTTTGCTAAGAAGAATCATCTTGGTTGTAGGTCCTTACTTTTCATCACTTTGAATATTTCTTGCCACTAACTTCTGGCCTGCAAAGTTTCTGTTGCAAAACCAGCTGCGAGTCATATGAGTGCTCCCGCCCTTGCAGGTAACTAACTGCTTTTCTCTTGCTGCTTTTAAGATTCTCTCTTTGTCATTTTCATTATGATGTGTCTTAGTGTGGGCCTCTTTGTGTTCCTCTTGTTTGGGATTCTCTGTGCTTCCTGGACTTATATGTCTATTTCTTTCACCTGGTAGGGGAAGTTTCTATCATTTTTTTCAAATAGGTTTTCTGAGCTTTAGTAAGAGAAATCTAGTATTATCAAAATGGGGAAAAAAACACTTTGTTCATGGTGAAGAGATCACTGTGCTTATCAATGCAATGGTATTTCCCTCCATATTTTTTATTAAAATAAGAAAATAAATCATATCTTACTTGGACTTTTTCCTCCCTTCTGCTCTTGCTTCTTCTTTAAAAGCATAGTTTCACTGACCAACGTACAGTCCGTGTCCACTGTCTCTCCTCCTGCTAATCGTGATTGACTGCCATCCTGAATATTTAAAAATCCAAAATTTTAACAATTGTCCCTTTATGTTCTTATATTTACTTTAAAAAACATTGTGGTAAAATATATATAAAACATTAATTTAACCATTTTAAGTGTATATTTCAGTAGCATTAAGTTATATTTACTTTTACCTTTTAGAAATATTAATATTTTATTGCCTGTAGAATATTTTAGCTTTGATATACAACACAAGCATCTTCTCTCAAGCCTAGGTTTTACTTTCTAACTTACCTTTGTATCTATTACAGTAATATCCATTTTATATTGAGAAAGGTCTGCTCCTGGATCTATACTCCACTGGATATTTTCACAGAATACATCTTAGATAAGGAGAGAAAAAAATACAATTAAGAACAGATTTTAAAAATTCTCATTACTTTAAAACATTACAGGATGCACAGAATGGAAGAAAAGTTTTGGTAAAGGACTTGTATCTACGATATATAAAGAACTCTCACAACTCAATAGTAAGACACATACCCCAACTGAAAATGAGCAAAGGATCTGAATAGACAGTCTTTGAAAGAAGATATACAAATGGCCAATAAGCACATGAAAAGATGTTCAACATTAGCCATCTGGGAAATGCAAATCAAAAACCCAAAGAGATACCATTTTACATCCCACCACATGGCTCCAACCAAAAAGACATAGTAACAAGTGTTGGTGAGGATGTGGAAAACTGAAACCCTCACATTCTGCTTGTGGGGATGTGAAATGATGTAGTTGCTTTGGAAAAGTTACATAGTTCTTCAGGAGGTTAAAAAGAGTTAGCCTATGGCCCAGCAATTCTACTACTATGTGTATCTAAAAAAAAAGAGAAGAAACATACATCCACACAAAATTGTACATCAATGTTCAGCATTATTTATAATAAAAAATGAAATAGTGAAAAATGTCACAAAATATTATATAATTTCATTACATAAAAACTCCAGAAAAGGCAAAACTATAGAGACAGAAAGTATATTATTGATTGCCTAGGATTGAGCAAGAGGAGTAGGGAATAAAGTTTCTGTTCTCTTTGAGATGATGAAAAATGTCCTATACATAGACTGTAATAATGTTTAAATGACCTGGTGAATATATCAAAACCAGTAAATTTTATGAATTTTATAAATTTTATGAATGTGCACCAAAAGGTTGCTGGTTTGATTCCTGGTCAGGATACATGCCCGGGTTGGGGGCTCGATCCCTGGTAGGGGACTTACAGGAGGCAGCTGATCAAGGTTTCTCTCTCTCCCCGCGCCCCCCCTCCCTCTCATGTCTCTGAAATAAAAAAAAGAATGTGCCTCAGGAAAAAAGGGAAAATAAACCTAGAATGAAGGAATAATTTTCTAATGAGGAATAAAAGACAAAATACCGTGTATGAAGTACAGAAATACTTGGTTGCTATAAAAACCAAAGACTCCTTTTAAACAGAGCAGACTTATGAAAGAATGATTATACATATTACAGCAAACCATGTTTTAAAACAAGAAGCTGAAAAACCCATGTAAATATATGCATATGTTTATAGATATACATGTAAACACAAAGAAATAGAACAGGTTACCTATGGGATGAGAAACAAGTTTTGGATGATGAAAATTCTACTTTATATATTTTAAAATTCTGTGTACATTTTTTAAAGCTTTTGTAAGGAAAATAAGAACTAACTACAGCCCTGACCAGGTAGCTCAGTTGGTTAGAGCATCATCATGATACACCAAGGTTGTGTGTTCGATCAGGGCACATACAAGAAGCAACCAATGAATACACAAATAGGTAGAATAACAAATCTCTCTCTCTCTCTCTAAATTCAAGAAATAAAAACTTAAAAAAAAGAACTACATAGAATAGATAACTCCACAAAATCACCTATAAAAGTAGGTATTAAAGATCTTAATTCACTTTTCTAAAAGCTCGAGGATATATCACATGTAAAATGAACCCAAAGAGAATTATTCTGTAAATACAGAAACATGCAGAAAGAAAACATTTTCTCCCAAAACAATTCAATCTACCCAAAGAATAATATATTTAGTATCTTAAATAATATACCAAGATAATATATATAAAGAGTGGAAGTACTACCTATAGTGTATATACCTTGATTGTTTTGTAGAGGTTTTGTTTTAGCGATTCTACATGGATTTAACTGAAGAACTGATGCAAGTTCACATTCTCCATGAACTGACCTGGTTTTTATTCTTACTGGTTCATGAGAACCAGTACCCTAAAACAGAAAGAATCATTTGTATCTAGGTGAAATCACAACCAACCATTTAAAACCAAAATCCATGAATATTTAACACAAACCTTCACATCATCAAAAAGATTCTCTGTTTCCAAACTTTCACGTGGATGTAGAGGGATTTTAAAGATAGGATTTTCTTCTTTTATTTGTAATGGTGTTTTGTTATCTGGAGAGGATTTAATCAGGGGCTGAAGGACATACTCCTGTAAACGGGGATCCTCTGGAGGATCTTTGGCTGGCACAAAGCTACCACTCAAAAACTTTCGGCTTGAGGAAGAACCCTTTGAAATGGGCTTCAAAGCCTCATAGAGTGTCACCTGTCTGAATTTGATTTTAGAGGTCTCACTTCCTTGGCTCTTCTCTTGACACTGAATAGCTGAAAATCGATCAGAGAGATCCAGAGGTTTATCCATCACATAGTCTCCATTCATAGAAGAATGACTATCCAGTGGAAAAGGAAAAGCATTTTCTTTATCAAAAGAGGCTTGGGGGCAGCTTGCTTCATCTTCACTTTCTTCCTCAATTTTCTTCCTTTTGGATGTTTTACATCCCAATGATTTCAGGGGCACCACATGTTTATCAGCAATAGCATTTTTAATATGATCAATATTATCCTGTTCACTTATGGATTCACTTATATTTTTATTTATAAGCATCTGTTTATTAGAAGATTGGCCAATCTTGTTCCCTTCAGACCCAAGATTAGGATGTGTGAAAAGGGAACTATCTTCAGATTTTGATCTAGTTTTCTCTAATCTAGAATTAGAAGTGCTGCTAAAAGGTGCTGTTTTCAGATGGCTTTTTTTCCCAGTCTCCAAAAGAGAAGGGGACAAACTTGTATTCAAACCAAAACTACTTTTCACATTAGAGGTAGCTCCGAACACAGGAGATGATACCCGAGTAGTCAGTTCTTCTTGAGGAGGAGTCTTTGAATTAGGATCTGAAAATCTAAGAAGATAAAGAAATCAGGTAAAAATTAAAAGATAGCATAATGAGAAAACATATGCTAATATAGAATTATTAATAATAAGGTTTTATCTATGTATTAGAGATAGATGCTTCACCAGCTTTTCCTTTAGCTGACAAAAAGCAGAGGAAAATGATACAATTCTCCTATCTCAATACCATGATAGTCCTACCTATAGATATTTTCCCTAAATAATTTAAATAACTTCACTATATTAAAAAAATCATATTTTAATAAATTCCACTGGGGACCCAACTTCTGTTGCTATGAAATCCTGTCATGAGTAACTCCAAGAAATAAATTCTTATACTACAGAACCGAACATGAATTAAGACCCAGCCCTAGCTGGTTTGGCTCAGTGGATAAAGCATCTGTCCGCAGACTGAAGGGTTCTGGGTTCGATTCCAGTCAAGGGCACATATTTCGGTTGCAGGCTCGATCCCCGGCTCTGGTTGGGGTGCGTGCGGGAGGCAACCAATCAATGTGTGTCTCTCACATCTATGTTTTTCTCTCTGTGTCTCCCCTTCCCTTCCACTCTCTCTAAAAATCAATGGGGGAAAAATCAATGGAAAAATATCCTCGGGTGAGGATTGATAACAAAAAGACCCAGTTTGCCTCTAGCAGAGGAGACAGCTTTGGTAGTGAAAAGACCTTGGTTGGGTAAAGCTCTGCCTCAAGTACTGAAGGCAGAGCCTTAAACAAGACATTTAACCTCTCTGGAGCTACATTTTTGTCGATTGTAAAATATGGTGGTAATATTTTACAATTGACAAAATACTACTTTAATGAGTTACTATGATGACAAGTTAAATGTGATATATCTACCTAAAACTGAAAGCTCTTTTAAAAAGCAAAATGCTACGTAGATATAGGTATTATAAATTAATGGTTGTTTTGAAATTAGTAAAAGCAAGGTGCAACACTATCTTTATACAATTTCATCCAAGCTTTATACAATATCCAGTTTTTGGAAATGCAAACCCAGAAGGGATGACTGGGTTTTTAAAGGGGCAGGGTAACAAGGCTGGGAACTCTTATGTACTGCTTAACAGAAGTACAGAAAGATTCTAAAAATATCTGTTTCACTAGAGTAATGCAAAAAAGCCCTCAATTGGTCATAAACTGGAGAAAGTATTTTTTAAAATAAAAATTAATACAACCAGAATAACAAACTATATGCTGAGGGAGAGAAATAGTTTAATTATATGGAATAGGATTTCACCAATAGTTTATAAATTTTCACCAAAGTGCCCCCAATTACCTTAAACTATCTTTATTATTTCTTGTAGATTCCTCTAAAGGTTGTTTCTTGTGATCTCCTTCCAGACAGTGGTAGAGCTCATCACCAGCAGGGCTCATGGGACTGTGAGATTCCTTCAGCAGTAAAATATAAAGTACATAAATACAATGAAATATTATTTTTCCTTAAAAAGGAATACTGATATATGCTACAATATGGCTGACCTCAAAAATAGGGTAAAGGAAAGAAGCCTGGCTCAAAAGCCATATCATGTATGATTCAATTTACATGAATTACCCAGAATAGGTCAATGTGTAAGGACAGAAAGCAGATTGGTGGATGCCAGAGGCAGCGAGTACTGGGGAACAAGGACTGTTTAACTGGTTTTCTTTTAGGATGATGATAGTAATACTTTGGAACCAGATAGAAGTGGTAGTTGCATAATACTGTGAACATACTAAATTCCAATGAATTGTACACTTTAAAATGGTTAATTTTACATTATGTGCATTTTTTATCACAATAAAATATATAAAGCACATTTTAAGTTTAAAGAGAAAAAAACATTGCTATTTTACTATTTTAAGTAAGTACATTCCATTACTGATATATAAAACTCCAATTCCAAAAAAATTATTAAGATGAGGGGAAGGGAATAGATATGATTATTTATACTGACAGGAGATGAAGTTAAAAGGATCCTTTGGAGAGCAGTGGTGCTCAAACTTTAAAAAAGACAACTGAGGATCTTGTTAAAATGCATGTTTTCTTTCAGTGGCTTTGGGTGGCATCTGAGATTTTGTAATAAATTTCAAGATGATGCAAATGCTGTTGGACTGTGGATCCCATTTGAGCACCAAATCCTTAGAGATCAGCTCTATAACTATATTAGGTGTCAGAACTATTGACATGCCAGGCTTATGGGTAGGAGAAAATGAAAAACCATTAAAACATTTAAAGTTCAAAGGTTAAAATTACCCACTATCACTTGAATGTAGATTTATAACTAGAAGAAAATAACAACAAATTACCCAAATGTAATGAAAAATCAATTCAATTTTTACAAATTCACTAAATAGTAAGACAATTTTATAAGACCCATATACATTTACCAACTAAAGCACAGGAGTAGTATTTTAAAGTTGTATCAAAGTGAAACTTTCTTAAGATTGAAGAATTCAAGTTTTCTATTTTTAGGAATCAATTAAGAAAAAAATAAATGTGCCTAAGGAAGCACTAAAATAATACAAAAATCATGGGGTCAATTAGGTTTTTTTGGATTGGCACTTATAAGGACAGAGAACTAAAATATATTTGGTAGTCCCAAGAATTCATCTGTTTTTCAAATCAAACCCCAGTTTAAAGGAGGTTCAGAAGATCTAATAAATTCTGAAATCTAAAGGCTCAGGCCTTCTCTTAGATGAAACAGGGTAGGAATAGGGGGAAGTGAGGGTGTAGGGAAGAGGATTGGCCAAACCCTCTAAGCCATTATCATTTCCCTAAATTCTGACTCAATCCACAACCTATATCCCCAAAATTCTAAAGACTCTAGATTTCTGGAACAGCTTAGGGCAGATAATATAAATGAGCCTTTCTAGCCACATCAATTTTATTCTAGGCCTTTATCCAATGGTCTTTGGGGAAAAAAAGTGTTGGTGTTTTTTTTTTTTTTTTCTTGCTCAACTCTCTAAAAACTGACCCAAAAAGACACCAATTAATTCATGTTATCACCAAACTAAACATCTACTTACAGATTCTTCTGGAACACTAAGTCCAAGTGTCTCGGCAACAATTGTAGCTAAATTAAAAGATGACTTATCAGTGGGATAACTACTTGTTCCACGTGTTTCTAAATAAGAAAAAAAACACCCCAATTATATAACTGTAGAAACTAGATGTACAAAAAAATACAAAAAAGCCCTGGCCAGGTGACTCAATTGGTTGGAGCACTGTCTCATATACCAAAAAGGTTGCAGGTTCGCTTCCTGGTTGGGGCATGTGCAGAAGGCAACCAATCGAAGTTTTTCTCTCGCATTAATGTTTCTCTCTGTCTCTCTCAAATCAATAAACATATCCTTGAGGATTAAAAAAAATTTTTAAAGAGGAATAAAAGGCTCACAGAACATTGTTACAAGATGGCACTGAACAATTTTTAATATTCTGTGCAAAAAGGCCCAAATATATCTACAATAAATGGCAATAAGTTGCAAATATCTAGCATCTGCATCTGCCAAACATTTTCAGCTAAATTTTCTATTTATCTTAAGTGAATTGGATGCAACAGATAGATTATTTTTCTTATTGCAACTGAATAATATCATAAAAACAATATATATTTATAATGAGTGCACTGTGACCTAAGATATACTATGAATATCAAACCATATTTATAATACCTTTCATAAAAACATACTTTATGGTAGAGATTTTCAATACTGCATAATTTTCAAGTTTTAAATTAACACAAATTTCTGCAGAAATCATCTATGTTCAAATACTATATACAGCCCAGCTGGCGTGGCTCAACTTGAGCATCAACCTATGAACCAGGAGGTCACTGTTTGATTCCTGGTCAGGGCACATGCCCGGGTTTCGGGCTCAATCCCCAGTGTGGCACATACAGGAGGTGGCCGATCGATGATTCTCTCTCATCATTGATGTTTCTTTTTTTTAAAATATTTTATTGATTTTTTACAGAGAGAAAGGGAGAGGGATAGAGAGTTAGAAACATCGATGAGAGAGAAGCATTGATCGGCTGCCTCCTGCACACTCCCTACTGGGGATGTGCCTGCAACCAAGGTACATGCCCTTGGCCGGAATCGAACCTGGGACCCTTCAGTCCGCAGGCCGACGCTCTTATCCAGTGAGCCAAACCAGCTAGGGCCATTGATGTTTCTTATCTCTCTCTCCCTCTCCCCTCCTCTCTGAAATCAATAAAAAATTTACAAAAAAAGATAGCATTTAAAACACACACATACAAATATTTTATACACAGAGTTCCAATAATTCAATAAGTATTTATGGAGCACATACTATGTTCCAGGTGTTATGCTAGATGAAAAGAAAAAACTTTTGTCCTCAAGGAACTTATGGGCTATAGAAAGGTAAAAAGAGAACTGCAATAAAATGTGATCAACACTGTAATAAAAGTACATTAAAAAGGGGAGATTTAAACATAAAGACTCCTAAATCTGCCTTGGAAAATCAAGAAAAACTACATTAAGTGATGCCTAAGCTGACCCTTGAGAGAAAAAGGAATTTGACAGGTCACTGGACTAGGAGCAGAGAAAAGAGTTCTATGCATGTGTAAGGGTCTATATATGTGAAACAAAATTACACATTCAGGGAATGACACGTGGTTCAATTGCTGAAAATTAAAGTGCAAAAGATGTAGTAATAGGACATGAACCCAGACAGGTTCAGATTATGCTAAAGAGTTTGAAATTTATCCTGTAGACAATGAAGAGATAGCTAAAGGTTTTTAATGGAGGGCAGATGCAGTATTTGGGTTTAAAAAGTAATTTTAGCCATGACAGGATGACAGAGCAAGAAGCAGTCTTAACAGGTAAGAGGACTAATTCAATTACTAAAACAGTCGTATGAGGGATGCTGATTGGCCTAAACTAGTACAATGGGGGTACAGAAAAATGTCTATGCCAGATATGTAGGAGGTGGAATCAATAAGATTTGGAGAATATTTAGATATGAGAAATAAAAAAGCAGGTTTCTAGGATAACTCACAGTTTTTTGATTTAGGTAACTCAGAGAGGTATGTAGAATGTCATTTACTGAGATTGTAAATAAAAGGATGAGGAGTAGGTTTGACAGAAAATTTTCAATTTTGGACATGCTGAAGTTGAAGAATACCCAGGTAGAGATGCTCAACAGTAGGCAGATACACTGGTTTGGAAATAAGGAGAAAAGTCTTGAACAGCGATATAGATTTGGGATTTATTAGCATATAGGTTGCAGCAGAATATTAACTCTAGGTGAGATTCTTCCAGAAAGTGAGACAAAAATAGACCAAGAACCATACCTATTGGGGACGGTAACATTTAAAAGAACAGCCAATAAAGGAAGGCAAAAAAAGAATAAAAAGAGAACCAGGAAGTGGCACCACTTTAAGAAACAGAGAATGCTCAATGTCCAATGTCACAGAAAGGTCAAGTAAGACAAGGTCTGGGAAGTATTACTAGTAATTAGATTTAACAACCAGGAGGTCACGGATGACTTTTGCCAGAGCAGTTCCAATGTAATGTGTGAGAAGAGTGTGAGACTATATCCTCCTCCTCTGCCCCTCCTCTCTCTTTCTTCTTCCCCCTTCTTCATCCCTTTCCCATACTACTTTCCCTCATTGCTCCCCCCTTTGGGGGTGTAAGGGGGAGTGAAGTGAATTGAGAGAGAAGAGATATTGAAAGAACTTTTTTCAGCTTTGAGAGAAGCTGTCGCTAAGGATGGAGACAAGAAGGGTTATTTCTAAAAGAGAAAAGATAACATGTATGCACATGTTGAAAAGAAAGAATCTGCAGAGAAGCTGGAGGAGATATAGGAAAAGAGAACAACTGATGGAGTCGTCTCCCTCAGCAGAAGAGGATGGGTCCAGAGTGCTGAGGAGCAAGGACCTGCATATTTGATGTTGTATCCCCAGCACCCTTTGCCAGACAGTCCTGTCTATACATATGCACACATGCTTGCACACAAACATACACACATGCTAATATAAAGTTATCTGTGGCTTTCAGAGTGTAAGTTTTTTTTAAAAATATATATTTTATTGATTTTTCACAGAGAGGAAGGGAGAGGAATAGAGAGTTAGAAACATCGATGAGAGAGAAACATCGATCAGCTGCCTCCTGCACACCCGCTACTGGGGATGTGCCCGCAACCAAGGTACATGCCCTTGACTGGAATCGAACCTGGGACCCTTCAGTCCACAGGCCGACGCTCTCTCCACTGAGCCAAACCGGTTAGGGCCAGATTGTAAGTTTTATACTGAGTAAATGATTAACCTTGGCTAATCCTTCCCTGGATCCCATCTCCACTCGGCTTTTCAAGGATCTAGCAATGGTTCCTTCTTTCTCCAGGATTATTCATTTCTCTCTTTACTTGATCATTCCATCAACATAAAAATATACTGAATGTGTTTTAATATCCCATTTTTAATTTTTATTTTTTTAAAATATATTTTGATTTTTTACAGAGAGGAAGGGAGAGGGATAGTTAGAAACATCGATGAGAGAGAAACATCAATCAGCTGCCTCCTGCACACCCCCTACTGGGGATGTGCCTGCAACCAAGGTACATGCCCTTGGCCGGAATCGAACCTGGGATCCTTCAGTCCGCAGGCCAACGCTCTATCCACTGAGCCAAACCGGTTAGGGCTAATATCCCATCTTCTGAAGGACTTGTTATAGTGCTCTCTCCACTTTTCTCTGATCCTGGTTTCTTTTGAACTTGAAACAGCCTAGTTGATAACCTTACACTTTAATAGTTCATGCTATGAGTTTAACACTCAGTGATCTCCATGTGACCAAATCCAATGCTCAAATCTCAGTCTTCACCTTTCTTCACTTATTAGCACTGTTTGCCACAGTTGACTTCTCTCCACCTGGCTTACAGGACACACTATCTTAGCTCTCCTATCTCACTATTAGCTACTTCAATGGCTACTTTGTTGGTTCCTCCTCATTTCAACAACCTCTAAATCACCACTTCTACAGTTGCAATATCACCTCCAAGGGGGTGAAAATGGCTTTGGGGGGATTTAACAAAAATGTAACACACAGATATACATACATTCATATATTACAGCTGAACTAGAACTATTAAAATTCCATAGGGAAAGTGATTAGAGGAAAAAAATATCTAAAAAGGCTAGTGTAAGGGTGATAATGAAAAAAAAACTTCAGCCCTAGCCGGTTTGGCTCAGTGGATAGAGTGTCAGCCTGTGGACTAAAGAGTCCCATGTTTGATTCCAGTCAAGGGCACATACCCGGGTTGTGGGCTCCATCCCCAGTGTGGGGCGTGAAGAAGGCAGCGGATCAGTGATTCTCTCTCATCGTTGCTGTTTCTATCTCTCTCTCTCCCTTCTTTTCTGAAATCAATAAAAACATGTTAAAAAAAAAAGAAAACAAACAAACTTGAGAATCACTATTTTACACTATGTAGTGCCTCAGGGCTAAGTACTTGGACTTCTCTATCTACATTCACTTGGTTGGTAATCTCGCCCACTCTCATGGCTTTGATACCACCTACATGCTAACAACTTCCAATCCTCTATCCTAGACTTCTCTAAACTCATATCCACCTACCCATCTAAAATCTTCATTTGAATGTCTATCAGGTATCTCAAACAGAATACTCTCAAAACCAAGCTCCTGATTTCTAACCACCCCGACCCTATTCTGCAAACCTGCTGCTTCTTCCCTCTGAGTTAATAGAGTTGCCCAAACCAATCTCCCCTTCGCTCAGTCTGCCCCAGTCACACAGGTCTCCTTAAGGTTCTTCAAACCAACCAAACAGCACCCTCACTTCAGTCTTGGTGCTCGCCAACTTCTCTACCTGGAATACCCTTCCCCCAGACACCCACATGACTCACTTGCTTTCCTTAGTCTCTGTTCATATGTCACTTTTAAAGTGAAGCTTTCCCATATCTCTTCTTACCCTGCTAAGAAGAGGTATTAGAAAGCCTAACACATACAGTGTCCCCTAAAAATGTATACACACTTTAACAGCTGATAGCTCAATTTTGAAAATGAAATGTATTTTAATTATTCAAAGTGTGTGTGTACATTTGTTGAGACACCCTATATTTGTTTATTTCCTTCCTCTCCCCAACTAGACTGTAAGCTCAGTGAGGTTAAGGGCTTTGTTTTGTTCAGCACCTGGTATATAGTAAACACTAAAATATTTCTTGAATCAATGAGTAAACCAGAATAAAGCATTGTTTACTTAAAATATATTAGCACTTTGTATTAAAATGCGGAGAGCTACTAATATGATTTAATAACAGAATAACATTACTTTCTAATATGAAAAAGACTGCTAAAGACCTAGTAATACAAACAAAATTAATAAAAAATGTTAAAATATTGTCTAATTCAGACTGTTGGCCACTCTTGCCCACCAACAACCACAAATTTTAAACTAATAAACTAATTTCAATATTTTGCTTACTAGCCACTGGAGATTGACTTTGATCACAAGTGTCAGCCACTAGAATTTCATTTTCATTAGGCTTATGTTGTAGATGAGTTGAAGATTTTGGAACTTTTCTCAATTCTAAAGGGAAAAAAGGAAAGATTATATATAAACCATCACAATGGAAAATATCAAAATGCTATTCTGATAAACCAATACAAACCTATCTTTACCGGTATTAGAAGTACTATTTTATTAATACAACTTTCATATTCTAATAAAGAGTTCCTGCCACAATTTCACTAGAAACAAAGCTGGAAGTTAGATCAGTAGTAGTTAAAGGACAGTGGGAGAGCGAACTAGAGCAGATGTGCTTTTTTTGATCCAAGTCTCCTAAAACTAATATTTTAATGTATCATTTCCTTATGTATTTGTTGTAAATCAGTAGGTCAGTTTAAAATAAATACTGCATCCCAGATCTCCACAATCTTTGTTTTAGTTTTTATTTTCTGAAAGGAAATCCTGAAACATGCTTTGTCAGAAATAATTCAAAGAAAAACAAACAAACAAAGAGTAAGTAAAGGGAAATAGACTTTTACTAATTATAACCTGAAAATAATATTGAAAAGCATATAAACTGCTCTGGCTGGGTAGCTCAGTTGGTTAGTGTCATCCAATATGCCAAGGTTGCAGGTTCGTTCCTAGTCAGGGCACATACAACAATCAACCAATGAATGCATCAACAAATGGATGTTTCTCTCTCTTGCTCTCTCAAATAAATAATTTTAAAAAGCAATATAAACTTTAAAATAAATAAGCAAAGATGGTTAGAAAGAGGAAAGGACTAAGTAGTCATTAAGTCAATTTTAATTTAATTTGCATGGCTCAAAAGTTATCTTGCATTTGAATCCCAAATTTCAGATTCCAAGTAAAAATGGTTAGTACGAAATTAAACAGACAAATCAAGTTGTATGTTATTCTTATATAATGAAGAAACAAGCCAGGAGCTTTTGTGATACAAAAGAAGACTTTCCTAATAAAGAAAATTGCTGTGAATTTGTTTTTCTGACTATTCTTATACATGGATTTAAACATGACCTAAATTAAGCAGATGGTTATCTGTAGTAACTCCTGTCTGATAACAGACTAAAAGGCCAATGCATGTTCATTCTACATCTATGATCTTACATTTTATTTTAGCTCTTGATTATGTGTAAGATTTTTAACAGTTCTCTTATTTTCCACTAGATGGTGATGTAAGGTCATGTAAAATGATGAAAATTATGCCAATTTTCCAATGTCAAAGAATAAGATTTACGTATTTTTTCTTTTTTTTTTTAAAATATATTTTATTAATTTTCTACAGAGAGGAAGGGAGAGAGATAGAGAGTTAGAAACATCGATGAGAGAGAAACATCGACCAGCTGCCTCCTGCCCATCTCCCACTGGGGATGTGCCCGCAACCCAGGTACATGCCCTTGACCGGAATCGAACCCGGGACCCTTCAGTCCGCAGGCCGACGCTCCATCCACTGAGCCAAACCGGTTTCGGCAAGATTTACTTATTTTTTCAAAGGCATAGCTACTCTTAAAAATTTATTTGAATTATAAAATATGTTACAAATAGTTTAGGTTAAAAATTAAAGTTTACCGTATACTTTAGATCAATATTGAAAGAAATAATCTTTGTATCATGTCACATAATACATTTCAGGACTACATTAAAGGGTATTCCCAAAGCATTTAACAGACATGGTAAACCACAAAGTGATATGTTATAATGCTATTTCTTTATTACCACCAATTGCTACAGATTATAACAAGTAAGAATAGCCAGTTAAAGACAGGATTTTCAATGTGGGCAAGATCTGGAAAATACAGAAGTTTAAGTTAGGAAGATCTGTATTTGAATTCTGACTCATCTACTTACTTGAGAGGTGACCCTGAGTGAGTTATTTAACCCTTCTAAAGAGCATTTTTTCATAATCTATAAAATATAGGTGCTAATAGCTACATGAGAATTCAAATATAGTAATACTGTATTCAAACCACTCAGCGCACAGTAGGTAAAAATTAGTGTTAAGGCGAAACCGGTTTGGCTCAGTGGATAGAGCGTCGGCCTGCGGACTGAAAGGTCCCAGGTTCGATTCCGGTCAAGGGCATGTACCTGGGTTGCGGGCACATCCCCAGTAGGAGATGTGCGGGAGGCAGCTGATCGATGTTTCTCTCTCATCGATGTTTCTGACTCTCTATCTCTCTCCCTTCCTCTCTGTAAAAAATCAATAAAATATATTTAAAAAATAAATAAATAAATAAATAAAAAATTAGTGTTAAGTTCCTTTCCTCTTTCCTGTTTTCCCACTCAGATATATACAATAAGAATATTTTTTAAATAAAAAGAAAACAAGAAACTATAAACAATGTTTATGAAATGCTGGGTGTTTACATATTCAGAAGAACAATACATGTCTATATATAATACAGATAGAAAATGTCTTTCCAGTCACTTCATTAGTGGAAATTAAATTTACAGGTATAACAAGTTTACCTGAACAATGACTATTTACCTTCCATGAAATTGAATAACACAAAAACAATAGATGGATACTATTTTTACAAAACCAAATAACTGAAGTGTAACTCTAAATCCTTACCATTTGTACACACAGAGAGCTCCGGTTTAGTATGTGTTTGTTCTATGTATCGGACATGGAGGTTCTCCCTTCTTCGTAGCCGATTAATGCCAGAAAATGAAAAGGCCGTTATCGGTGAATCTGGAATAACATTTTCCTCAGATTCAAGCTCAGCTGCTTGATGCTGTTGATCATTCCTAGAGGAAAATAATGACAATTGAAAGAAAATTAATTCAATGAATATTTACTAAAACATCTACCATATGGTATAGAGCTAGAGAAAGACACAGGTGAAACTTAAGACATATAATTCCTTGCATCTAAAGTTCAAAATCTAAATATAAGGATTCAAATGATTAGAGTGGAGAATATTATTGTGAGAAGAAATGTACAAAGTGTAGTTGCTGCCACTTGAGGTGAAATTAAAAGAATTTCAAATGGCTGAGAAAATCAGCAGAGGATGCAGAGTTTGAGTAAAGGCCGGCAGTATTGTATACTGGTGTTGGAGAAGGGCACACTGGAACAATGTGAAGGAGGGCCTTAATGAAGTGTGCACATAGTTTAGAAAGCAAGAGGAAAGGAATTAAGGTTTTAGAGCATGGAAGTAATGCGACAATCCAGTAGCATTGTGCAAGACTGGGACAGAAAGAAAAGAGGCAAGGAAATCAATTAGGTAGGGGCTACAATAGTCCAGCCAAGATCATCTGTGGGTTTGAACTAGGCCAGTGGTCGGCAAACTCATTAGTCAACAGAGCCAAATATCAACAGTACAACGACTGAAATTTCTTTTGAGAGCCAGATTTTTTAAACTTAAACTATATAGGTAGGTACATTGTTATTAATTTAATTAGGGTACTCCTAAACTGGCCTTTGCTAAAAACGTCCTCAATCTGATTGAGGTACGTTCGCTGAGGTCGACCCCTTCCAACTCTCCCATCCACACTCATCTTGTATACTTGTTTCGTCTATCTCCTTTCGTTCATCCTCTCTATACGTCCAAACCATCTCAACATACCTTTCTCAATCCTCGACACTACATCTTCTTTCACTCCACAACATTCCCTAAAATTAACTTAATAAACTTTACTTAAAGTTTTAAGTCTTACCAGTGGTCAGCAAACTGCGGCTCGCGAGCCACATGCGGCTCTTTGGCCCCTTGAGAGTGCTCTCCCACAAAATACCGACTTCTGCACATGGGCCATGAAGTTTCAATCGCACTGTACATGCACGCCCGCACGTGGTATTTTGTGGAAGAGCCACACTCGGGGGGCCAAAGAGCCACATGTGGTTTGCGAGTTGCAGTTCGCTGACCACTGAACTAGGATGTTGAAAACAGCTACAGAAAGGAAGGGACCAGTGCTAAACATTGTAGTAGTAGAATCAACATGACTTGGCAACTGACAAAAATATGGTGATAAATAATATTAATTACCAACATTCTTGTAGGTTTACACTGCCAGACACTGTTCAAAGTATGAAGTTATTACTAACAGTCTCATTTTACAAATGAGAAAATGGAAGTTACAGAAGTTAAGTCACTTACTAAAATCCTATCTAATAATAGACAAACATGGTAATTGACCGTACCTTCGCTACACCTCCCATTGGCTAATCAGCACGATAACCGCCAACAAAGGCGGCAACTAATTTGCATACTGCAGGCAGATCCCGCTGCGCCGCCCCGCCTGGGGCTGGCCGCAGCGCGATCCCCGGCTGCCCCAGTGCGAGATCCTGGCCTGCCGTGTGCGGGGCGGGGCAGGTGGGGCGGGCAGCAGCGCGATCCCAAGCTGCCGGCCTGCCCCAGCGCGGGATCCGGGACTGCCGTGTGCGGGGCAGGGTGGGCGGCAACACGATCTGAGCCGCCTGTCCCAGCGCGGGATCTGGGCCTGCCATCTGCGACCGGGGGAGATGGGGCAGACACCGCGGGATTGGGCGTGCCCTCTGCCACCAGGGGAGCGGGCCTAAGCCAGCAGGTGGTTATCGCCGGAGGGGTCCTAGACTGTGAGAGGGCACAGGTTGGGCTGAGGGACCACCCTCCTCCCCCGCCAGTGCACAAATTTTTGTGCACCGGGCTTCTAGTAGTAAATAACAGAACCAGGATCTAAATCCCAGCAGCCAGACTCCCAAGATAATACTGATAACCATTCAATGTGTTATCCTTAGTGTAGACCAAGAGACAAACGACTGACTACAAGTAGGATTCTACCTTTGAGTTTCTGGCACTGCTTTTATTCAGGTGCCCTTATAGTCTAGTCTCAAAACATCAGTCTGAACAGACCTATTAAAACTCGTTATGTCACTCCCCTGATTAAAACTTGCCACATCTTCCCTTTCACGTAAAATACAAACCAAAGTCCTCTTAATGATTTATAAGGTCCTAATGATCTGTTCCCCTTGCCTATATCCCCTGACCTGCTTTCATTATCATGCTCTAGCCCAGCCACCCTTGCTTCCTTGAGGTTCCTCAAACACACCTGGCATACTCCTACCTTAGGTTCTTTGCTCTAGCTGGTCCATTTGCTTGGAATGCACATACATCACATGGCTAATTACCTCCTCTTCTGCAAGTCTTTGCTGGAATTTTACTTTCTCATTAAGGCCTACCTTGAACACACTATTTGAAATTGCAATTCTTCTTCCTATGCCTTAGTACTCATTTTTTGTTATCCTGCTCTTTTACCTTATCCATAGTATTTACTGCTTTCTAAGATAGTATATAATGGACTTACCTATTGCTCACCTGCTAGAATGTAAACAAGAGATAAGGATCTTTGATTCACCAATACATCATGTGTCCACAAGAATAGGCACATAGTAGGTACTCAATAAATATTTAGTGAGTAAATGAATGAGAATGAGAGATTCCCAGATCCCACTAGAAAAATAAATTTGTGCTGATGTAGGCATATGGCACCTAAAGACTGGGTTTGGATTAAATTGTAGTTATTGAGTAAAGTTAATTAACTTTAACTCAATTGACTTTCCCATGTCAAATCATTACTGACTTTATCTGCAACTCAATTCCTACCAGTCTAGCAGGCACTGAGTCTTTACATAACAAAACCAGTCTATGCTATTATAGTCTATGCTATTACAATTTGTAATACAATCTCTAAACATACAATAATATGAAAATTTTATAAACTATGACCAACAGAGATTTTAAAAAAAACGTTAGAAGATAAAGATTAATAGTTTCTTTTTTTTTATTTTAAGTAATTTTTATTTCTTAAAGTATTACAAAGAGTATTACATATGTCTTCTTCCCCCCCCCCCCCTTGAAATTCCCCCGGCCTCCCCTACCCCCTAGTGTCTTGTGTCCATTGGTTATTCTTATATGCATGCATATAAGTCCTTCGGTTGATCTCTTAACCCCCCTCCCAAACCCTCCCCAGGCTTCCCACTGTAGTTTGACAGTCTGTTCAATGCTGCTCTGCCTCTGCATCTACCCCTGTTCATCAGACTATACTGGTCCCCATTATCCGTTTCAACCTCACCGGGGCCGTCCCAACCTCACCGGGGCCGTCCCAACCTCACCGGGGCCGTCTTGACCTCACCGGTGCCGTACCTCACCGGGGCCGTTTTGGCCTCACCGGGGCCGTCCCGCCCTCACCGGGGCTGTTTCAATCACACTGGGGCCGTTTCGGCCTCACCACGGCTGTCCCGACCTCACCGGGGCCATTTCAGCCTCACCGGGGCCGTCCCAACCTCACCGGGGCCGTTTCGGCCTCAAGATTAATATTTTCTAACATTTATTTATATCTTAATTTCCTGGATATCAATATTACTGTGGTCTATATCCTATATTTTTTTATTGAAGATTTTAGAACTATTTAGAGCTACTATCTTATTTTTAATCTCTCCCTACAAATTCAACTGTCTTATTCTGGAAAAACAGAGTAAGCTGGTCATATGAGAAAGGCTTATAAATTAATGGAGTGTGAAATCTATCTGACCTCACTTTAATCACATCACAGCCTACCTGCCTATTAGTCATAAAAATTCAACCTGAAACATGAATGAGTCATGAGAAGAAATTGACTTCCTGGCAGAGCCAATCTAGAATTAGCTGGGATCACAAAAGAAAGAAAAAAACAATTAAAAATTAGCTCTAACTAGAGGTGTCCAAATAAACAAGTGCTGCCTTTGTTCTCCTTTGTCCTTCCTTTGTCATTAAAAAAAAAAAAAAGGAAAAACAAAACAACTTCCATGTGCCCTCTCATTAGTCCAAAGCTTGAACCTGTCCAAAAGCTGTAGCCGCTCTCCACAGACCCCCAGTAGGGGGCATGCAGGAGGCAGCGGATCAATGAGTCTCTCTCATCATTAATGTTTCTATCTCTCTCCCCCTACCCCTTCCTCTCTGAAATCAATAAAAATATATTAAAAAAGAAAAGGATTCAGGAGGGCCATGATAGTTGTCTTCATGTATACAAAGGTCTAGGTAGAAGAGGGAATAACTTGTTCCAGATGGTCCCAGAAGGCAAAACTCAGTATCAACAAATATAACTTACATATAAGTAGAGTGATTTCTACACAAACTTAGAAAGAACTTTCTAATAATTTCATCTCACTGAAATTAAATAGGCTTGGGAGACTGAACTTGTACTAAAGGTATTCAAACAATTCTGTTAAAGAAGTCATACAAGGAATTCAATTTAGAAGAGGGCAGTGTAGCTCATCTTAAAAAACAAAATGAGCCCTAACCGGTTTGGCTCAGTGGATAGAGCGTCGGCCTGCGGACTGAAAGGTCCCAGGTTCGATTCCGGCCAAGGGCATGTACCTTGGTTGCGGGCACATCCCCAGTAGGAGGTGTGCAGGAGGCAGCTGATCAATGTTTCTCTCTCATTGATGTTTCTGACTCTATCCCTCTCCCTTCCTCTCTGTGAAAAATCAATAAAATATATTTAAAAAAAACAACAAAAAACAAAATGAAACAAAAACTTTATTTTTAACTCTGTCCACATAGAAGAGAACAGTGAATGACATGAATCCTACAGTCTTTAAGTGTATACACTGAAATATTGACTCCTTTGACTTTCACTGAACCAGTACATCCATTTCCCGAAACAAAGAGTCATGACCCTCAGCGGTTGCCAACTGGTGGTCTGCAGACCACTGGTGGTCCGTGAGGTCCAAAAGGTTGGCAACCGCTGGTGACCCCAATACCTAGCTTAGTTAATTATCTGCTTTCTGTGACTGGTAGAGTTGAAATATATATATTTAAACTTTATAATGACAAATTGTTACTGAGTAATTTCTCACTATAATGTCATTAAATAACTGTCCTACCATATAAGGTATCTGTAACATCAAAACCAGTTTAGGTAAGTTAAAATTACTACATTTCACAAGCAAAAGTATAGGTCAAATAATTTTTCTAAAGTTCAGGGGAACTTCAGGCGCTAATAGCATAATGTTACAGTTAGGTAATCAGAGGAAACCATGTTGCCTTTATGAGATAATACTTATTTCTTTAAACTGCAAGGAAAAGAAAATTTGTTCAAGGAGAGCAAGCTACAAAGAAGTTGCCTTGTGAAAATAACAACTATCTTAAATTTCAGAAGAGAATTAAAAGATAATAGGTTACCTCCTACATTATTCTGACTAAGGCATATCCTAAATAAACATACTTGCCCTGAGCTTGTCTACCTGATTCATCTTTACTGTAATTTAAACTTCAGCTTTTACATCTTTTCTAAAATATCAATGAGCCTCAACAGGAAAAATACTTGAATTTGAGAACACTAAAAATAAACTAATTCTAATCAGAACTAATACTGGTATTTCTATCAAGTGAATGACATTATTTGGTTTCAATATACTTTATATAGCTTGGTTGTTGAAGTAATCACCTAATTTCTATTAACCTCTATATAACATATAAATATTATCTTATTTATCTTCAGTATTCATAGGTATCAAGGTTGATGTGTATAAAACATCATAAGTTACCTGTGCTAAATAACTTCCCATAACATAAATTAATATAGGTCAACAATCACTTATCTGAAATCTTTGGAAGCAGATGTGATTCAGAGTTCAGATTTTTTTTTTACATGAAAGGTAATATAGATTATATAGAGATGATTATATAACACAGGGGAGCCTGAGGTATCATCCTGTAGCCAAGCACATGGATATTTTCACAGCAAGCCATCGAATGCTCACATGAAATGGTGGGATAAATAAGAACTATAAATAGCATCCTGTCAGTTGAGGTAAGTTGTGGATAACATTTAAAAAAAACAAACACCTTTTGGGTTTTAGAATTGTATGTAAAAGATTATGAATCTGTGTTCTAACAGCATGAGGAAAATTAGCAAGTGTTGACCTTTTCATATACATGTTTGACAGCCTCAGTCTGATCTCCTCGCTTCTGTTCTCATCTGTTATCCCTCCTCAAAATCCCCTTTGGCTCCCAATGTATAGTGACTGATCACATGGGAGGAATATCAAAACCCTACTGGATATCCACTACCTAAAATATTCTGATAAGGATGTTAGTTTCACCTTTGAGATGTGTTTATACATAAGAAAATAACTCTTCTAAACCCAAAGAATATTACATCAGCATAGTTTATACCAAAATTGTTATAGATGTCTACTCAAATATAATAGAATCTTTCAGAGCCCTATAAAACCATTGGGACTATCCTGAATCCTAATTCTTAAAATAATATTATATAAATTTTATGTAAGTGGAAAATAAGAGGTAGCCATATCTCTGCTCTGCACTGGTCGACCATTAGGCTATTTTTTGGAGACACTGTCACATAAAGAAAAGAACAGAGGCCTTTAAGTCAGAAGATATGGGTCTGAGTGATGGTGTTAAAACCTACTAACTGTGAGACCAAGGCAAGTTACTTGATTTTTGTAAGCTTTGGTTCCTTCATCCATAAAGTACAGATAATAAAACTACCTTGAAGAAGCATAATGAACAATAGAAATAATAAACATAAAACACAAAGAAGAGTAACTGGTACACAGGATAAAAGTTATTTTTATTCTTTAAGAGAAATGGTGGGAGAGGGAGAGATCAGAGAGAGAGTTTTTGTGGCCTGAGAAGTGTGTAAGAGGAAATACTTATTCAGTTTGCTCTTAGGAAGCTTCCAGGACAGGGCTGGAAGAAAGGTAACAAAACTAAAATATTTATTTGAAATGTATTTTAATAATGTATTATTTATAATAATTATTAAAATTAAAACATTTTAAATTAAAATGTTCAGATACTTTCTCGCGCTAAGAGATATATACACTTTCATACGTATTCCCAAAACATGAACAAAAATATAGTGATTTTCTTTACATTTTTTTATTACAGAACACTTTATAATTTTTAAAAATGAAATCTGCAACTCTTAATATATTTTTACAGTTTGTATAGCTAAATAAAATGAAGAAAGAAAAATTGGGGGAAAATATTCAATTATTCAATTTTCTACTGCAATTTGGAAAATATACTTACTCAATTTTCTGCTGCAGTTGTTCAGAAAGCTTTTTATTTTCTTCCTGTAGAGTATTCTTTTCATTCACTTAAATATAATGTGAAAAAAATGGCACATATTATAACTCTTTTAACATGTATGTCAGGCTTTTTCAATAATTTCAACAATTATAGAGACATTAGGATTTTTAATTCTAAGTCAAAATGTTAGGATTAACGTTACCATGCAAAGCTAATTTGTTACTAGGTAGTGATTACATCTCATATTCTGCCAGTTCCATGTAAATGATTAATAATTTTATGTAATGCTTGTGAGCAAAAAAAGAAAGAGTACCTCATGTACTGGGGAGTAGGGTCTAATTATTCATATTGAGGACAAGAAAGCATTCCATCTGGTTACTCAGTTCTACTAATTTCAAATACCATTTTAGTGAGAGTCATTTATCTTGAAATAAATCTGACCATAAAAGTAATATAACACTGGATATCAGTGTAATTTTTATAACATAAACACACTCAATCATATTTTCTCCTTTAGTGGTACTCTATGTTTTATGAGTAATTATATCAATAATCTAAACATATCGATTGAAGTCTGTTTGAATCCACCTCAACTAAAATTTCCTATCCACCCATATTTAATTTATAAAGCAAAAACTCAATTATGGGCTATAATTTCTACTGTAGCCAGTACAAATCTCTTACCAATACTTACTATGATGTTCCTGGTTAAGGATGTGTTTTACTAGGAGCTAAATATATATAAATATATAATCAATAACAGTAAATCCAATTAACCTGTACCAAAGAAAATGAATCATAGTCTAAAAATTTGTTAATAATTTAGTGCTTTACTAATTTAAACATATTTTCTTTTCTTTTTTAAAATATATTTTTATTGATTTCAGAGAGAAAGGGAGAGGGAGAGATAGAAACATCAATGATGAGAGAGAATCATTGATTGGCTGCCTCCTGCACGCCCCCTGCTGGGGGATCAGGCCCACAACCTAGGCCAGTGGTAGGCAAACTCATTAGTCAACAGAGCCAAATATCAACAGTACAACGACTGAAATTTCTTTTGAGAGCCAAATTTTTTAAACTTAAACTATATAGGTAGGTACATTGTTATTAACTTAATTAGGGTACTCCTAAGCTGGCCTTTGCTAAAAACGTCCTCAATCTGATTGAGGTACGTTCGCTGAGGTCGACCCCTTCCAACTCTCCCATCCACACTCGTCTTGTATACTTGTTTCGTCTATCTCCTTTCATTCATCCTCTCTATATGTCCACCCTCCACTTCGTCTAACGCCACTTCTTCAAAATAAAGTTGCCCAGGACGAAAACCGACTTCTGTGCACGAGCCACGAAGTTTCAATTGCACTGTACGTGCACGCCCGCACATGGTATTTTGTGGAAGAGCCACACTCAAGGGGCCAAAGAGCCGCATGTGGCTTGTGAGCCGTGGTTTGCCGACCACTGACCTAGGCATATGACCTCCTGATTCATAGGCTGATGCTCAACCACTGAGCCATCCTGACCAGGCCTAAAAATATTTTCTTTAATTGAGCAAACAAAATTTTTTGACTATCTACTATATGTGAGGTTGCTAGACTACCTCCTGTGAAGGATCTAGAAAAACCTTAAGATATGGACAATGGCCTACAGAAAGGTGTAGTCTAATGAGAGACAAGCTATAATTAAACACATTTTATATACCTGAAAGTCACAAGGGCATTAGAGAGGTACAGATAAAGTACTAAAGAAAATTTCAAGGAGAAAAAGGTTGTTTTGGGCCCTTGAAACCAGAAAAAAATTCACCACAGAGGACAAATGAACTGGACAAGTGACTATTCTATGCAGAGAATTAATGGAACAAAGTTAGAAAGACTGACTGGGTATAACAAATGGTAGAAAACCTTCAAAAGCAGGCTAAGAAGTCTAAAATTTATCTTAAAAAATTAAGTTATTTTTCACAGATGAATGATGGGAAGATTGATTTGTTAATATATCAAAGTGAGAAGAAAACATTGACAAGTTAGGCTATTGTTAAATGAGTTGATCAAAAAGAATAAAAATAAGAATTAAAAAAAATGGTGGGGGGAGAACGGGAGTGGGCTGGAAGAGGTTAATGGGGGAAAAGGGGGGACCTATGTAATAGTTTATAAGAAAACAACAAAAACAAAAAAACAATGGTAAAGCCCTGGCTAGTGTGGCTCAGTTGCTTGAGCATTATCCCATGCACCAAAAGGTCACTGGTTCGATTTCTAGTCAGGGCATATGCCTGGGGGTGGGCTCGATCCCCAGTAGCGGGCATGCAGGAGACAGCAGATGGATGTTTCTCTCTCCCTTCCTCTCTCTCTAAAATCAATTAAAAAACATGTTTAAAAACAAAACAAAACAGAAAACCCCAGTATAGAATAAAATTAAAGCTGTGACACTCAAGAGTGTGTTCAAAAGCAAGCGGCACAACCCTGATATTTACCTTCAATGAATAGGAGGTACAAACCCCAAAATAATGAAATTAAAATGAAATAGAAGAAAATCAATTATACTCCAAATTCAATAATTGGCAAGAGTAGTAACAAAAAAAGACAGGACAGGAAGAAAACAGTATCAATAAGATAGAAACACCAAAAATTCATAAACACGAAGCCCTTAGTGTGTTTATTTTTACAATAACTTTGGGCCCTGGCTGGTTTGGCTCAGTGGATAGAACATTGGCCTACAGACCAAAGGGTCCCAGGTTCAATTCCAGTCAAGGGCACATGCCCAGGTTGCAGGTTTGATTCCCAGTAGGGGATGTACAGGAGGCAGCCAATCAATGATCCTCATCATTGATGTTTCTCTTTCTCCCTCTCCCTTCCTCTCTGAAATCAATAAAAATATACTTAAAAAATAAAAACAGGTAAAAGAAAAGGTTAAGAGAGGTATTAGAATAGAAAAAGGTTAGGAGGAAAAGGCTAAGAATGAAAGAAAACCCTATATTAAATGGGTAAAGGAGCCTAATTGAAAATGATATACTTGTAATAGTATGTCATGAAAACAAAAAAAGGATACACCTTTGTAGAACATTATATTGTCTGTTTTGTATTTAAGTTTACTAAATAGTCAAATTACACAAAATAAAGGTAAAACCAAAGAAGCAAATTTGGACATATCTGTAGGAAATTTACTTCTTGTATTACAGCTGGTGAGACTTTAATGCCAATGTGGACAGTATGTGCACAATCTTCTGGTAAGTATTTCTTACTAAAATAATCATGAGATTAAATCTATACAAAGTGAAGGAAGGATATTTGAACTTTTGCCTGAATAAGGAAAAATATATGTAAACAATCCATTTATTTGGTTGCAACCAATTTACTAATAGGTTTTTAACAATAGTACATTATGCTTTAAATACTTAACAAATGAAAAAGGAAACTCACTAAGCTCTGTGATAAGTTTAAGATTCTGCTGCCGGATATTTTCAAATTCTTGCTGTTTTTTTCGCATGTGTTCTTCAGTTACTGCACAGCGATCACATAATCCTGCTCTTAATCTATGAAACAAAAACAAAACATTTTTAGAATAGAACTTAAATGTTCTCATAAAAAAATAAGTAAATAAGTGAGTGATGGATGTGTTATCCCCAAAGGGTAGGAATTCTTTCAAAATGTATGTCTATCAACTCACTAAGATGTACACTTTATTTTACAATTTTATTTGCCAATTATACATCAGTAAAGCTGATATTAAAAAAAAAAATTCAAGTACGAAAAGATTTTTTAAAATATTTGAACCCCAAGATTTTTATTCTTTATGAAGAACTAAAGAATTGACTTGCAAATATAGAGAAAATTAACTAATTTAATGATATATTCATACCTTTAACAAATTCTCAAATAGGCTGAAATCATGCTACAACAAAACTTTCTACAGATTGCAATTCTGAGTGAAATTCTGTAAAAATCCGCTAATTTCAAACTCTATTCAAGGGAACTTATTTATTGAAGAACCTAACCTTATTTTAATATTATAGCCAAAATATGCCAGTACAATACTCAGGGAGCAGCATTATATCTTAAGCAAGCTTGCATTTGCTTTGCTTAGCACATATTATAACACTAATGAGTGCTCAAAAACATTTTTAGTTGAATCAATACTAAAGATTAAGGAACTCAAAGTTTTTTTAAAAAAGTTACCTCATACTTTGCTCCCTTCAGCATTAAAATAACAAACACCCAGTGTTAGTAAAAATTCACAATGCAACTATTATGTAAACAAAAAAAGATTACAAATAGCTTTTACTAATTATGTGTGAGTGCTAAAGAGCAGAGAAAAATACATATAGTACATGGGGAGGGGAACGTGGAGAGAAAGGTGTACTCCAAAATGTTAGTAATAGTTATCTTGCAGATATCAGTATTATAGGAGATTTTCTTCTTAGTGTTTTTCTATATGTTTCAAAATTTTACTCATTTCATTATTTATATAATCAGAAAATATACAGTTAAAAAAGATACATGCCCCACATTAGGAATTTAGGAAACATATTCTTGGATAATAATTACATCTCAATAATCTAAATGAATAAGATACTAAGTATTTAAGTGTCTAAGGAAGCCACAGCCTGGTAGTATAGACCATTTTTTAAAAAAGGAAATACAATATGAAAACTGTACAACTAAAACAAACAAAAAGAACCTAGAGATTTTTTATATAAAAGTAAAACTCATAAACAGCGTTTTGATAAGGATATAAAAAATAAAGGTTAGAGATCAAAGGTTGCATTAATGGAATGACAATTTCTAGAAGCCAAAAATCACAGGACATTGAAAGGTCTTTGAAAAAACACTAAAGGAGTTAAACTGCATTAACCACTTTTAATGAATTATTTAAATGTCATTCTACTAGCCAGTTTGACATTAAAAACTAAACACCTTATTGTTTCTAAGAAATCATATCTGATATTAAAATGTTATAAAGTATAATGAAAAACAATCCCTTGGGACCCCTAGTTTCCAAGTTTAAAAATGCCACTGACACAGTTATAAAGCAATATTCCCTGGCTTGTTTATTACTTCCAGATTTCTCCAATCAACTGCCACTCTTGATAATAATATTTGTGAGTCAACTCCTAATTGCTCACTGGTCCTATTTGAGTTTAAATGGATGTGAGAAAATATGCTCCCATTTCCATCAGCAGAGCTCCATTGCTTTCCTCTTGCCTATCCTCCACTGTAGTTGTCAGAGAAAGAAAAAAAAAATCCTCAATTTTTTGCCTCAATTTCACAGGAGAATGCAGTTGGTAGGAAAAAGGGAAAGAAGAGTAATTCCACTTGTAAGAACAGACAGCAACATGTGTTCTGAGTTTTATCCCAGCTTGTTCACAGAAATGAAGAACTAATAATTTATTTTGCAATTAAAACTCACCAGATTGAGAAGTATGCACAATTGCTTTCTATACCTCCCAAAATTTCCTTAAATTTATTTTCATTCAAAAGGGTTTCACTGAACACGTACAATGAGTACTGTAGGTACTATAAATACAAAGGTGGCCAACATAATGTTACTTATTTTAAAGAGTTTACAACAGTCTGCTAGTGAAAAACAGACAATAAAAAAGTAAGTAATTACAACAAAGTATGATTCATACCATGACAGAAGAAATACAGGGTACTATCCTATCTAATAATAGACAAACATGGTAATTAACCATACCTCCGCTATGCTTCCCATTGGCTAATCAGCAGGATATGCAAATTAACTGCCAACAAAGATGGCAGCCGGCAGCCACGCAGCTGAAGCAAACATGAGGCTTGCTTGCTCCAGTGATGGAGGAAGCCAAGGTCCCCCGCCTGCGGCAGCCCAACTCTGAACTCCGGATGCAACAATGTTGCAATTATAGAAGCTAAACAAACCCCAGGTACCTGCTTTCAGCCGGCAGCGGGCTCAGAGCTTAGAGCGCCAATGATGGCAACAGAGTTTCAATTATAGAAGCTAAACAAACCCAGATACCTGCTTTCAGCCAGCCACGGCCTCAGAGCTGGAGCCGGCTCTCAGCTCCAGTGACAGCTATAGAAGGTAAATAAATCCCAGAATAAAAAAAAAAAAAAAAAAGAGGCTGGGAGCTTCAGTCGCCTGCCAGCCTGAAAACGGCCCTCAGCCCCTCACCCAGACTGGCCAGGCTCCCCAGTGGGGACCCCTACCCTGAAGGGGGTGTGACCAGCTGCAAACAGCCATCAGCCCCTCATCCAGGCTGGCCAGGCACCCCAGTGAGGACCCCCACCCTGAAGGGGGTGTGACCAGCTGCAAACAGCCATGAGCCCGTCATCCAGGCTGGCTAGGCACCCCAGTGGGGACCCCCACCCTGAAGGGGGTGTGACCAGCTGCAAACAGCCATCAGCCCCTCACCCAGGCTGGCCAGGCACCCAAGCGGGACCCCTACCCTGATCCGGGACACCCTTCAGGGCAAACCAGCCGGCCCCCACCCGTGCACCAGGCCTCTATCCTATATAATAACAGGGTAATATGCAAACTGACCCTAACAGCAGAAGGACTGGAAATGACTGGTCACTATGACACACACTGACCACCAGGGGGCAGACGCTCAATGCAGGAGCTGCCCTCTGGTGGTCAGTGTGCTCTCACAGGGGGGAGCTCTGCTCAGCCACAAGCCAGGCTGACAGCTGCCAGTACAGCAGTGGTGGAGGGAGCCTCTCCCCACTCCTCAGCAGCGCTAAGGATGTCTGACTGCAGCTTAGGTCTGCTCCCCGCTGGCAAGTGGACATCCCCCGAGGGCTGCCGGACTGCCAGAGGGATGTCTGACTGCCAGCTTAGGCCTGATCCCCTGAGGAGTGGGCCTAAGCCAGCAAGTGGTCACCCCCGAGGGGTCCCAAACTGCGAAAGGGCACAGGCCGGGCTGAGGGATCCCCTACCCTCGAGTGCACAAATTTTTGTGCACCGGGCCTCTAGTCCTATATAATAAAAGCTTAATATGCTAAGTGGCCAGTTGTCCATTCAACCAATCAAAGCATGATATGCTAATGATATGCTAAGGCTGCCCAACTGCTTGCTATGATGTGCACTGACCACCAGGGGGCAGACGCTCCGACTGGTAGGATAGCTTGCTGCTGGGATCTGGCCCATCAGGACTGAGTGAGAAAGGCCAGACACACCCTGGCACCCTCCCGTGGTCCCTCCCCAGCTGGCCAACCTCCCGCTTCCCTCTCCAGCCCCGATCGTGCACTGGTGGGGTCCCTCAGCCTGGCCTGTGCCCTCTCACAATCCGGGACCCCTCGGAGGATGTCGGAGAGCCGGTTTCGGCCCAATCCCACAGGCCAGGCCGAGGGACCCGACTGGTGCACGAATTCGCGCACTGGGCCTCTAGTGAAGTATAAAGCACATAGCAGAACTTAACCTAGTCTAGGAAGTCAGAGGTCTCCTGAAGAATATGATGTTTAAATTCAAATCTATGAGAAAGACAGTTAGCAAGACAAAAGAGAATATTTGGTCCAGTATTTGAAAAATAGTTGCAGAAACACAAATCCTCTGATTATGAGTACCAATTTTCCCTTTTAATGACAGTTGAAATATGAGTTTCTCATGACTACCAAAAATGCTTTTAAAAACATTAAAATCTACTGAACAACTATGGTTTAACTGCTTTGTTCAGATTTTTTAAAATTTTATTTAAGAAAATGCATTCTCTCTACTTTTCTAGCATAGTGACTGTTTCTTAGATTTAGTGAAATACTTTGATTCCTTAAAGGAAAGTTTGTAAATGTAATAATAGTAGTGGTAAAACATAAACGAGCCACATAAAATTAAACCTTTTTATTATCCAATTTACCTTTATTGGGTAATCTCCTTTCATCTAAACATCTCACAATGTTTTTACAACATTAGTGTAAGAATCACTTCATCTTATTTAGAGTAGATGGCAAGTTTCAGAATTATTTAGAAATTTTAACAAAATATGTGTTGCTTTTTTAAGGTCTCAGAAAAACATTAATTTTTATAGATTTATAAAGCTTGCTCTAGATACCATTCTTACATATGATATAAAACTAAAATGAAATTTTATAAGGCAGAATTTTATCAAATGTTACCTACGTAGACATTTAAAGGTAGTATTCAATTAGTAGCAATATAAAAATAAAAATAAAAAACTTCTAGAAAATAGACTAGATAATAGGCAATGGTGAAAACTATTTCAGAGTATGTGTCTTGGTAACTTTAGGTCAAGCACAAATACTTTGAGATAATCAGTTAAAGTGTAATTCATTTACACATTTATAAAATTAAGACAGCATACTGACAAGGCATCATGAAACAGTAGGGACACTTTCCCAGCTCAGTTTCCTCACATGTAAATGGATCTACCATCCATCTTATAGCGTTAATGTGAAGGTTAAGTGCTGGATGCCTGGGCCCTCAATACATATCAATTCCTCCATAAAACAATAAGGGTCAGATCTAGGACATTCTTGTTTTAATTATATGAGGCTTCATGAAACAAGGAATAAACCTTAAAGAAAGCCCAAAAGAAAATTTCAGATTTGTATTTGAAGGAGAGAAAAGCATATATATAAACAAATGAACTACGCTTTTTGTCCCACCCCCACTCCCACCACCAAATTACTACCACATAATGAATTATAGGCCCACCTAACTTTAAGGACCTAAAGATGAAGGGAATGAAAGGCAAGAGAACATTAAGAATAAGAAACAGTAGAGAAGCAGGATATCCACAGGAAATTAGTGACCATAGATCAAAAATAGAAAAGAATCTAGTTTTAAAAAACTGCAGAATAGCCCTGACCAGGTAGCTAAGTTGGTTAGAGCATCATCCCGATAAGTCAAGGTTGCGTGTTCAATCCCCAGTCAGGGTGCATACAAGATCAACCAATGAATGCATAAATAAGTGGGACAACAAATCGATGTTTCTCTCTCTCTTTCCCAAATCACTAAATAAAATTTTTAAAAAATTGCAGAATAAAAGATATATATATATATTCCCCCCCCCCCCTCCCTGGGTACACTACTCTCCCCACATCTCCACATGTTTACCAATCCAGAAACTCCACAAAAAAGATAATGTTCACAATTAAATATATTAACTGAATAAGAGAGTAATTTATAAAATACTTCAGTGGCAAGGGTAGGGGCATTCATCCACTGACATTTTTTCTCCGAATGGGCCTGGAAAGGAAAAATTCAGTTAAGAAGAGAAACACAAAATTCAAAGAATAACAGAACTGGAAGCCCAAACTCGAAATCATAAAGTGAAGAAAAGATCAGAAGATACTAGAAAGAATTGCTGTAATTAGTAAAAACAACAAGCATTGCAAGAGTATATCCTTACTTTCAAAGTATTTATCCAAAGTTGACGTAAGGTTGGAAAAAAAAAATCACTTTTGGTCCTAGAGCTGAATACAATGTACTTTCCATTAAGGGGGAAAAATCACCTCTTACTCAAGGAGACCCAAGAACTTTTCTACTTGGTCATTTACCTGTGATCATTGTTTCTTTCACACCCTGAGCAACATTAGCGCTTAGCGGTCTCGTTATGTTTTCAAATTTCACCCAAGACTCACCGATCTTCTAAAACTTTAATGGTTTCATGAAGAACTTTCTGTTGCTCTCTCAGCTGCTGATTTTTGGTGAAGAATTCTTCAAGTCTTTGTGCATCTCTAAAAGTTAAGAAATAAGTTGTTGTTTTTAAGGAAAAATATCCTAACAGGATTATTCTGTCATAAAAACTCCAAAGTATGATCTCACCACTTACATATATCATGAATTTGCTGTACCGAAACAAATACAGTGGAACCTCGGTTCTCAAACTTAGTTTATTCCAGAAGGCTGTTGGAAAAGCGATTTGTTCAAAAACCGAATCATTTTTTCCATTAGAAATGACATAAATTGAATTCGTTCCAGACCCTCAAATGATTCCGTTTTAACCTTTCTTATATATAGTACATGTCTAAAGTTCTGTTTAACCTATAAACAAATACTTTTTCTTAATTTTATCAAACCACTCCCTACTAAACTTAAAGGAATCACTTTCAGCACCCCTTCCAGGGGAGTCTCAGGAATCAGTATGCGATATCTTAGACATCTTCACTTAACCAAAAGACAGAGCCATCTTATATTTTGGCAGGAAATTCACCCCACACAGGAGTGTTAACAACAGTTTTTCTACTTCATTTACCTGTGATCATTGTTTCTTTCACATCCTGAGCAACATTAGCACTTAGTGGTCTCTTTGTTTTCAAATTTCACCAGCAACAAAAGCAAAAAGATGTAAATGGACTCGAATTTTCTCCTTTTCTCCTTTGTGGCCTAAGAAATGCTTTTTGTCACACTAATGTACCAGCATGGAAAGGTTATCTGGTCGAGAACTGAAGCTTGTTCAACAACCCAGACATTTTTTCCGTGAACAACTTGGTCAAGAATGGAATTGGCCCTAGCCGGTTTCGCTCCGTGGATAGAGCAGTCGGCCTGTGGACTGAAGGGTCCCAGGTTCCATTCCGGTCAAGGGCACGTACCTTGGTTGCAGGCTCCTCCCCAGCCCTGGCCCTGGTCTGGCTCATGTAGAAGGCAACCAATGATGTGTTTCTTTCATATTGATGTTTCTGTCTTTCCCTCTCTCTTCCACTCTCTCTAAAAAAAAAAAAAAAAATCAATGGAAAAATATCCTCGGGTGAGGATTAAAAAAAAAAAAGGAGAATGGAATTGTTTGAGATGGGAGATATTTGAGAACCGAGGTTTAACTGTAACTTAAAAGGTGAGGTTTGAATATCTTGTTAATCAGAGTTCAAATTATAACAGAATTAGCTCTGCAGTATTTTTTATACTACAGAAGTATTATGCCTAAGTACCAGGCATTCTTTATACAATGATGGAATACAGATGAAGGAGTGGATTGTGATGCCACCATTGACTCCATATTGTCAAAATACAAAAAAACATGTACACTTACCTATTTTTATTAATTTGTCTACATTGTTAATGTAATTAACAGATATCTCTACTCATTTCTCTATCACTGTTATGGGGGATTTATAATTTCTATTTTATTAATTTCTGTGTTGCTTAAATTTCTATCTGGTATTATTTTTAAGCCAGGGCTTACTGTTGAGTGGAACCTAAGTTTAAATCTTAGCTCTGTCATTTACCAGTTATGTGACCTGGTGCAAGTAACCTACACTCTCTGTGCCTCGAAAAATGTGGATCTATATAGTATTTAACTCATAAGGCATTTGCAACGGCTAAGTACTAATGCATATATTACATGCAGAACAGTGTTGGTACATAGTAAGTTCTATTTAAGTTATCATTATGATTTTATTTTTAAAATTGATTTTACAGAGAGGAAAGAGGGGAGAGAGGAGACGGAAACATCAGTGTGAGAAAAACATTGATCAGTTGCCTCCTTCCATTCAAGCCCCCACTGGGGATCCAACCCAAAACCTGGGTATGTGCCCTGACCAGAAATTGAACCAGCCACCTTCTGGTGTATGGATGATGCTTCAGTCAACTGAGCCACACCGGCCAGGGCTATCATTATAATTTTATAGTCAGGAAAAACAAAGACAGCTAAATTTTTCTTCTAGTAGATTACCTGGTTACTTTGCAAGGTTGTGTAATATTTTACCCTTCCATCATTATATTTTTAAAAAATCACATTATATAAAGTATGCATATATTTTCATGTGTTTTTTAAAAAAATCCTCACCCCAGGGTATGTTTATTGATTTTAGAGAGAGAAGGAGGGAGAGAGACAGACACACAGAGAGAAACATCAATGTGAGAGAAAAACATTGATCAGTTGCCTCCCAAACTTGCCCTGACTGGGATTGGTTGCCTCCCAAACTTTTGGTGTATGGGACAACACTCCAACCAACTGAGCCACCTGGCTAGGGCTAGTATGCATATATTGTAATTCTAATAAAACATTAGAAATTTAGTTGGAATTTTCTGTGTGGTCTTAAAGTTGAAAATATAGGATAATACGGAGCTCAAACACCTTCCCCCAGCCTCCTCAAGGGTCTAAAACATCAAATAAGCATGACAAATCAGTCTTCTACAAAACGCAGATGTTCTCATGATGGTGTTAAAATGGCTAAAATGCAGACTGTAATGTTACTGGCAGCAAAACAGATGAGTAAACAACTCAAAGTAAAACAGGTCAAAGTCATAATGTCAGATATCCAATATACAGGAGCACTTCTTAAATACTGGTTGAATAATTGACATTGAATGAAAAACCAATACATCTAAGAGGCCTCCTGTAAAACCAATGTAGTCTGACAACATATGCAGATATCTGAAATTGAAAATAACAGATAGTAATAGCTAGCTGAAACTTGTTAATTTGGCTGTTTTTAATAATAAAATCTATACTAATAGAAGGATAATATGCTAATTAGACCAGACATCTTCCAGACGTCCTTCTGGATAAAGCCATGGTGGCAGGAGCTGAAGCAGAGGCGGTTAAGCAGATCAGGTCAGCAGGGGAGAGCAGTTAGGGGTGATCAGGCCGGCAGGCAGAGGCAGTTAGGGATGATCAGGCAGGCAGGGGAGCAGTTAGGGGCATCAGGCTGGCAAGCAGAGGCGGTTAGAGGCGATCAGGCCGACAGGCAGGTGAGCGGTCCAACTGCTGGTTTAGGCCCGATCCCACAGGGGCAGTTGGACATCCCCTGAGGGGTCCTGGATTGGAGAGGGTGCAGGTCGGGCTGAATGGAAACCCCCCTACCAAATGGTAAAGGGTTATGCATGATGTAAATAAGTCAGGACGAGGAAAGTAAATGAATGCAGAGATAGCGTGGTTAGATACTGTTTCATTATAATCTATGATGGTAGGGACACGGGTGGGAAAAGCGTGAGTATATAATGTTGCTTAGATATATAAGAAAAAAAAGAACATCAGGACCTTTCAAATCGGTCTGATGATGGGGATGAGAGGAGAGTGAGTAGAACGATGTCGTGTGAGGTGATGTGATCTGGCTCGTCGCTGGTATGTACCTACAGGACGAGATATGGTTGGCAGTGTAGAGAGAGGCACCAAGCGATCAGTCGGATGGACTGAAGAATACCAGCCGCTGAGGATCCCATAACCGTGGAAGTTAAGATTCAGGGGTCAGAGCTAGCTAGGTTAAGTAGGAAAGCTAATGGTTCCTGA